CCATTTCCTCTGGGGGGGGGTCTCACTGTGATTCCCAGTGCATTCAGTTAGAGGCTTTCTTGCCACCCACCCCCTCCATGTTTTAAATACAGGTACTCGCACCCATTTTGATCCTCGGAACTCACACTCTCTCTTGCATCGATCTCTCAGTCTGCTCTTCCTCCGCCGCATTAGACTTCACTTGGTCTGTTCTTCCGGACTTACATGACAGCGATCATTTCCCAATCATTCTTGCTTCCCCTTCATATTCACCACCTCTTCGCATCCCACGCGGCAATTTGATCAGGCAAATTGGAAACCCTTTACTCACACCTAACTTTTTTTTAGAAGGTTCCTTCTTTGTCCTCCAATCGATGAGCTTTTACAAACCTCGTCCTCCGTTTTAACCACAGCTTCTCATTCTATCCCCCAAAACTTCGGGCAGGCATTCTCAGAAATGCGTGCCTTGGTGGTCTCCTGCTTGTGCTCGTGCAGAAACGTTTGAAACGCGCTGCATGGGGCAGGAAACCGGTACAATAGAACCACAGAGAGACTTCTTGTTTTTAAGCAAAGTGTCCGATCGCGACGCCGTGTCCATCCGTGCCGCAAAAACGCCCCTTGCTGGCGAGATTGTCTCCACCATCACCTCTTGCTTTCTCTTTTGAGTGCAGTCTGGAAAAAAGTACGAAAACTGAGTGGTAAATATTCTCCTGTTCTGCGGGTTGCCAGTGTTGATATAGCAAACCTCTTGATGTTGCCATGAAATTGCAATCTGTCGTATTTCTCCGGACCCTAACCCTTGCTGGCATTGTCAAGTCTCCAACCATAGCACCTTGATTCTTTTCTCAGGAAAAACAGTATAATGCCTTAGTACTTCAGAATGAGGCTACCTTCTGCTTGCTGATTGATGCAGACGCCCGATGACCATTCAAATTGTATGCTCAATCTTTAATTCAGGTCACGTCCTTGCAGTCCTCATTCTTTCCAAATCTAATGTTGGTCACGGATTTTCTTCTTACATGTGAAATCCGCTCATTATTTCCCTTTTCCGCTCAAAACGCACCGGGACAGAAACTCCCACTATCGTCCCATTGGCCTTACCGATGCAGTTTGCAAGTGATGACAGCCTTAATAAAGTAGCCTTTGGTGGTATTAGAGTTTACAAACTATTGGTCCACGGTTCTTCCAACTTGGCTCTCAAGGGACGTTTTCCCATTACCCCAAACCTTGGATACTAGGTCTAAAGCCTTTGCGAATAACCTCGGTTCTTTACCAGTTGCGCTCATGAAGGTTCCTTGATGAATGAGGGGTTTGATTGGGAATTTGAGAATCAGTGCTCTCGTCCCCGTAATAAGCTGAGCCTTCCAAGGTCCCCTTCCCTAGACCCTTTATCCTACGGTTGTAGCGTATGTCCTAATCCCTTGATATAATAATCAATGTAATATATGCCATATTTTTTGACCTTGAAGGCTATGACACAACTTGGAGGTATAATATTTTAGCCCAAGCCCACCCTTAGGCCTTCGAGGCAACCTACATCCTTCCTTAAGAACTTTTTAATGACAGGCATTTCCGTGTTCGGGTTAATAATGTGCTCTCCCCGGACTTTATCCAAGCTGAAGGTGTCCCCCAGGGATGTGTTCTGAGCACAACACTTTTTCTCCTTGCTATTAATGATTTGGCCTCTAGTCTTCCATCAAATATTTGGTCATCACTCTATGTTGATGACTTCGCTATTGCCTGTGCAGGCGCTGACTGTCACCTTATTACAGTTTCTCTCCAGCATGCAGTCGACCGTGTTTCCAATTGGGCCACCACACATGGGTTTAAATTTTCCAGCAATAAAACCCACCAAATTACTTTCACTAGATGCTCTGTCATCTCCGATCATCCTTTGTACCTCTATGGCTCCCGTATCCCTGAACGTGATACAGTCAAGTTTCTGGGCCTCCTCTTTGATCGTAGGTTATCCTGGAAACCTCACATTACCTCTCTGAAGGCAACTTGTCACAGCCGGCTGAACCTTCTTAAAACCCTTGCTCATCTTTCATGGGGAGCTGATCGTCGAACCCTCCTTCGCTTACATTCCACCCTTATTTTATCGAAACTTGATTATGGTGACCAGATCTATTCAGCGGCATCTCCTGCTACTCTCTCTAGCCTTAACCCCATTCATCACCAAGGATTACGTTTATGCCTTGGTGCTTTTCGCTCTTCCCCTGTCGAGAGCCTCTATGCAGAAGCGAACGTTCCATCCTTATCCGATCGCCGTGATGCCCATTGCCTTCGCTACTATGTACGCTCTCATGATCTCTGCAATCCTTCCATTTATAGAATGGTCACTGATATTAGTAGACATTCTTTATTTGTTCGCCGCCCCTGTTTACTCCGTCCCTTCTCTCTTCGCCTTCATTCGCTCTTGTCTTCTCTTCAATTACCACCTTTCTATGTACATGTAGCATCTCACTTTTCCCTACCCCCCTGGGAAGTTCCAGCTGTTCGAGTCTGTTCTTTCTCTCTCCCTTGCTCGAAAGCCCAACTGTCTACGGTCGCTTCCCGCTCTCTTTTTCTTGACCACTTTCACTCTCATTCTCATGCCATTGCTGTGTACACAGATGGCTCTAAGTCTTCTGACGGCGTAGGATTCGCAGCAGTGTTTCCGGACAGCGTCGTAAAAGGGCATTTACTATCTTCGGCTAGTATTTTTACTGCTGAATTGTATGCCATCCTTACAGCACTTATCCGTATTGCATCTATGCCTGTGTCATCATTTGTGGTTGTCTCAGACTCCCTTAGTGCTTTACAGGCTATACTGAAATTTGATACACCTCACCCCTTAGTCCTCCGTATCCAACTTTGGCTACGCCGCATCTTTACCAAGCATAAAGATATTGTTTTTTGTTGGGTCCCTGGTTATGTTGACGTACAGGGCAATGAACAGGCAGACACTGCTGCGCGGTCAGCAGTACATGACCTACCAGTTTCATGTAGAGGTATTCCATTTACGGACTATTTTGCTGCAATATCTTCCCACCTTCACACCCGTTGGCAACAACGTTGGTCTACTATGCTCGGCAACAAACTTCAATCTATTAAACCGAGTATAGGTTACTGGCTGTCTTCTTATCACCAGTGTCGAGGTTGGGAGACTACTCTCTCCCGTCTTCGCATTGGCCATACTCGTCTTACTCATGGATATCTCGTGGAGAGGCGCCCTGCTCCTCTCTGTGAGAATTGCCAAGTTCCATTATCAGTCAGCTACATTCTGTTGGACTGCCCACTTTATCAACGAGCACGCAGAATTTACCTCCATCGTCGTCTTCGCTCCGCTGCTCTCTCTTTACCTTCCCTTGTAGCTGATGGACCCACCTTTCATCCAGACTCTCTCATTGACTTTTTAACAACAACTGACTTGCTTCACAAATTCTGATACCTTCAGCCCTTTCTACTTCAGACTCTTGCTACCCTCTACCCCCGTACTATCCCCTGCCCTGCTGTTTTCTGTAACCTACTGATCATCCCTCCACCTTTCTGCCATCCAATACCCTCGCTTCCTTCCCTACCCTGCAGCGCTGTATAGATAGCCCTTGTGGCTTAGCGCTTCTTTTTGATTATAATAATAAATAATAGGTCACCCTGCCTTGGTGAGAAATGGCTGACATGTTAAAAAAAAAAAAATTTAGTTGAGCAACTCAGTTTCTCAATTTTTGCATGGTGTGGCAAATTTCACTTCTTATGACCAGAGTCTTTGGGAAGATGGGTAAGGAAGAAGGATGGCTAAGGATAGAAATATTGGAAAAGAGGGGAATGAGGTAGGATATAAAAGGTAAGTGGCCCAACCACTTTGGTGCAATTTAAAAAGTGTATGTGGAATAATAAAATATTCTTGAAGGGGTATAATACTAACCCATCAGTCACATAGATATAACAGATATATAGGTACATGACTGAATTGGTAGTAGATATACAAGTTGCAATTGCCTGTTTTTTGCGATTGCACAACAAGCATTTAAACGACAATCAAGGCGGTAATTGTCTGGGCAGTTCGTAAAGAATTACTTGACACCTTAGCTTCTTTCAAGGTGGTGTCCCGCCATAGTATATGTAGCATAATTTTAACAGTAGAAATGTTATACAAGATATCTCCCTAATTGGGGGCGATGACTTCCTTAGTATACATAGAAGGGTTCTGGTGTTACCCAATCATCATCATCTGCAGGGAGGTTGCTCAAGATCATTGGTCGATGGTCATCGTCTTTGGATGAAGCGACGCACCCTCTGTGGGAGAGTCATTCTTTGGGTCCTGTGAGGAGGAGTATTGATATAATCAGTGGTATTTTCAACTTGTTTCTTCTTCAGCGCATCAAGGCGTACAATTAAGGCAGTAATATCCTGTTGTACATGTAAATCTGCCATTTTGACTGTGTCTTTCCTCCTGGTACCCGTAATAAAGTGGAGAGCTTTATTCTGGACCCATTGCAACTTTAGCATGTTGGTCTTTGTTGTTAACAACATTTGGCTTAGCGCTTCTTTTTGATTATAATAATAATGTTAACAACATTGGGACACATGGGTATTCGAGTGTTGGTCTTATCATTTTACACAGATGTTTTTTGACATGTAGGGGCTTGATTAAATCTAAAGAGACTACTAAGACTGGCTTTGGCTATGTTGATCTTTTTATTGACGTGAGATATTGACTCTGATATCGTAAGTCTAAGACCAAAACTGCCTTGGTAAATTTATATTAATTGACGAGGATTGTTTGGCTGTTTTGCTCGAAAGAAATTTTAGTAAATGCTGTATATGTACTTCCATGTACAGCAAATCACTATCATATTTTAAGGACAGCAAACCAGAAATACCTCCTGTTGATTGATGCAATTAGTCTACTGTGTATATAGTTTTTTTTTTTTTAATCCAATAGGCTGTATTTTTTAATTCAACCAAGTAAGGAAATGTTCCATCAATATTCCTAACCTTTTTTAATGAAGTCTTTGTGGGTACACAAACAATTATAGCTACAATAATTTTATTTTCATGAAGTATACACACACACACACATCATCTTGCTGTCAAGTAAGTTAAAATACATTTGCCATTAGTATTTTAATAAGCTAAATTAAAGTTTAAATAAAATGTAGAAAACATTAATTAGGAACCCTTTAATATACTGCCTTTCTCATTGTTAGAGGTTATTAGATTGCCCTATGTAATCCTAAGTTGCTTCTAATTCCAGTTTGCAATGCAGTATTCTCATATATGTAGACTACATAGTACACTATTAGTATCTTGAAACTGGTTCGATTCAGTATTAGGGACTCTTATTAAACCACATTCCTGATGCAAGCAAGCAAAACTAGTTTCGTCTTCCAAAGCTTTTAAATGCCGCTATATATACTGTATTCTACTCTTATGAAATGAATCTTTTATTGCCTTTTGAGATTTTTACATATAAAAAATACAAAAATTGTATATTATTGTATTCAATTATTTTACATCATAATTGGCAAATCAAAATTATACACATTAATCATTACCATTTGTAGTAAATGCAATCTACTGCTACAGGACTACTATACAGCAATTGATAGTACTGTAGTGTACTACTGTGAAAGATGTGAAACTAAAGGTAGAGATCTTCATGTTAAAGTTGTTTTGCTCACTGATGTCTCATATACACTGTTATCATATTAAAAATGAAGCTCCATTTGTTTCAAAAATATAATTATCACAAACTCCTAAACTTAAAAGAGGTCAATGATTGCTACAATTCTGTGTTACTTAACAGCAACACCAAAAAAAGGTGCTGGTGTTAGAATTGTAGAGGGCAAGCACAAGTGTGTAAGAGTCATGGTGCAGTAATTTAGTTACTCCCTTCAAGGAGTATGTCTTGACAATGAAGGGTTCTTGATCCAATGACTTGGAGTTACTCTCCTTTTCCTTGGATCAAACTTTAATGGAATATGACCCTTACGAGTGGAACTTCGAAGAGGAGGGTAGATAGTGTAAGCTTGTCAGGGTACTGAGGAACTTTACAATGAAATCCACAAGCTCTGGTGAAACCAATTTTGCTGGGCAGTGCTGAGTGCCTCTCCAGATGACTATGTGGGTCTGCCATATCTAACCTGCAATCATGAGAGCATAGTGTCCCTAAACAGGAAGGATAACTAGCAATGTGGCTTGCCTTGAATGGGAGTACCTGGAAGGCTGATAGACTAGATACAATGAATAGGAACCATCCTTCCCTTTCTTGGATCACACTCGATTACCTCCCATTCTCCAGGTGCTGCATGACCCCAACTAGTTCAGTGCTCTTCAGTGAATATAATTAGTTACTCCACAGATACTAGCTAGTACCTGATCAGACCACAATGCTTGGCTAATCAGTTTGAGCAGTAATGATTATTACATTCTAACCAAGGAAGGGGAGGACAGGTCCAATTCCTTGAGGCAAGAGATCCTCAACGTCAAGGAACCCTCCTTTGAGAAGTGAGGCAGTAGTTAACTAAGGCATAATTCTGCAGCCTTTAATTAGGGTGCCTTGGTGTTGAAGTACTTGCAATCTTTCCCTTCCATGGATCAAACCTAATTACCTCAAATAACCCATGCACTGTATGATCCCTGTGAATATAACCCATGCACTTAATGACCCCTGTGACTATAATAATTCAAAAGGCAGTGTTAATTAACCTTAGGAGTGTCAGATAAGGAAAAAAAAGGGGGGGGGGGGTAGTAAGTACATAATGTCTAAAATGAGGTAAGTTAGCATGTTCAAACAGTTATGAAGATGAGTAAATAAATGAGAAGTTACAATGATAGGAAGATGATTAATCCTGTAATAATCACCTACAACTATTCACTATATAAATAGTGATGGAAGATGAGGAAAGCAAGAGGTTCAAAGGAGAATTTGCACAATTCCAAGGGTTGACATTAGTTGGAGTGCTGTATGCAGCACTGTATGGCCCTTGTGGTTTAGTGCTTCTTTTTTATTATAATAATAATGGTGTACTGTACTGGAATTTAAGATACAGTAGTAAGATGTAGGACTCAACATAACCAAAAAAAGTCACAAAAGAACCACCTAAAATATGACTACTGAAACTGCCCAACAAAAACAGCAGTTCATGCAAGGATGAAAGTTATGTGTTGAGGTCATGAAATCACATGTTGACGAGAGGGAAAAAGAAACGGACCACATATTGCAGCAATAAACACCGGCTACATACCGGTGTGGATTGTGAACTTAAGAGGAAAGGAAGCACACACTTTTATGAGGTATCAGTAAAGGTTGCGTGATGGCAAAGTGCAGCCAGACACAGGGAGGCATGCAGTATTGCAAAGTTTAGTATTTTTTAAGTAGATATGCAAGAGGGGAAAAGAAAAAAGATTAAATCATTAACTTAGTACTTTTTAAAAAAAAATTTGTCTTAAATATTCAATTTATGCAAATCAACTGAAAAAATCAAGACTAGGTTGTAGTGGGGTCCTGGGCAATACCATACCACCTTTTTTTTTTTTTTTCTAAAACTATATCGCTGACCAACTTATAAATTATACACAGAGTTTCAGTGAATCTTCATACATTCTACAGTTGCCATTTTATTTTTATCCTTTTGTTTGTCTCAGTTATTTTAGTTCATGCCGTTCTTGATGAGAGAGCGAGTCACAATAAACACACAGTAGCATGTTATCTTCATCCAAATGTATAATAAAATTAAAAAATGGCTGGTGCTATTTATAATTCATATATCAAATTTTTTGGCACATTAAGAAAAATAGCTCAGCCCTTATAATTTTATTGGTAGTCACATACTGGCCTATTTGTTATAAATTATGTAATATGCTATCATAATGATAGCTAATGATCACAAGGAAATTATACAAATCACCAAATTTTCAATGTTAGAGGCTTTTGTAGAAGCTGGAAAACATAGATGCTAGTAGTCAAAGTGCTGTATGACCCTTATGGATTTAGCACTTAGTATTATTATTATAATAACTTTTAGTCAGCCACACAATGTTTTGTTTTTCCCCTCTTACAGTATTAGTTTTACTTGTTTCTGGTCATTCCAAGTCCTGCCAAGAGTGCTTGTGTTAGCTGTGATCTTTGAAGGATAGAAGTGTCTAATTCTTTCTCCTTATCATCTTCTTGAGCTTCATCTGCAAGTTCAACACTTCCCTCTGTGACTTCATCCTCCTCCTCCTCCTCTTCATTCCCAAGAAGAGTTCCTTGCAAACCCACTGGTTGTGAGGCAGTGTCAACACGTGACCTAACAGATTCTTCCCCTTCAGAACGTTGACGCATGCGACCTTCAGTGCTCCATACTCGTTTGCCAGGTGCAATCATACTCCTGTATTTAAAATAATTTTTTTTAATTCTTTTGCAATAACTAAATAAATATAATATAATCCACCCCCTCCCACACACACACATATACTCTCTCTCCCTCTCTAGAATATAGCATAAATCACTAAAACCATGTTAAGTACATTATATATATTGCTTAAAAAAATTGAGGGAGACCCCTTGATGCAGATAAGAGGCTTTTGATGCAAGGAACTGGACCTGTTCTCCCATTCCTTGAATTAACCCTTTCACTGTTGCAGCTCCCAAAATTACAAGTGCTGAAGGTACTGACACAAAAAATGCAAAATTTTATGGAAAATTTACAGAATTACACATGCGAAGTTTGATGGATTGGGCGCAATTTATGCACTGGTGGTTTTGCTCATTTTGAATCCTATTTTAAGCTAATTCCATTGCTTAATTTGACGAAATTATTAATCTCTGAATATGCCTTCCATTCTATTGACCGAGTGCAAGAAAGTGCCAATTCAACCCTCAGAACTACCCTATAAATTGCTTAAACATCAGTAATTTTGCCAATTTGACACGAAATTCAACAAATTCCAACTTTAACATGGTGTCCAAAATAAACAATGTAGGTATTCCAGCCACTAAGGCAACCTATCCTTTGTTCATTACTACGTCCCCAAGCCCCTCCTATATAACACTTGACTTCATTTTGAATCCATCATTTACACAAATAATCAAAGTTTTATCCTATTTCTAATTGAAACAGACCTAGTAAAAACTCATGAAACAGATCAGGGTGGTGCTCGGAGGGGAGGGCCCACCCCTGCCTCTGGAAACAAAAAAATCAAACATTTCCACTCCTTTGAGCCCAATTTCAAGCTACTTCCAGTCCTGAAACTGACCCAAATCATTTCTAATTCACTAGTATGTTTTCCATTTTATCAATTGATACCCAGAAACATCCAATAGAATCATAAAAACCACCCTGGAAAACACCTCAAAGTTGCTATTTTCGACGAAACACAAGATCAGATGTTTGCTTTTTCCATAACACACTGCATGGTGCAGGTGTTTTTTTTTATATGTTGTACACTCGCTGCACAGACCTATTCTCTCAAGTCTAAGCAAAAATTTACCAATCACAATACATCTGAGGGTGCTGTGCTTAAAATGTAGATCTATGTGAGAGACAGTGAAAGGATTAAAGTTGATTGCCTCCTATTCTCCCAGGCACTTTATGAGCCTTACAAGTTTTAGTGCTTCCCCTCAATATTATTTTTATCATCATTATTATTAATATTAACTTGGTGATTTAAAGGATACATACTTCATTATCAAAACTATTTTGTAACAAACTGAAAACTCATTACAAATACATTAAGAGAAAACTGTTGCCTACTTGTTCACAGGGTTTCCACTTTGACTTGTGCCACTAGTAAGTCCAGTTCCATTAGACTGTGATGAGGACTGACCATCCTCAGATTCCATGCTAAGGCTGGCATTCCACTGTGGCTCGTGGACATCACCCATTTTCTCCTCCAGGTTTGTATTTCCCATGACTACACTGAATGGCTTAAATGGCACAGCACCATTTTCAAGAGATTCGACTACATATTCATCAAGAAAGCTTAATGTCAAATCTACAGTAACTCTATGGTTCAAAATGTCCTCCTGTCTTTTAATGACTCTCATACTGAGCTGAGGATTGCTGAGCCACTTGCAAATTTCATTTGATTTTTCTCTCAAGGCTTGATCTACATTTTCTCTGACTGTATAAAGCTGTAAAAATGATACAATATCTGCACAGACAGTTTCATCATTAAGTCCAATATTTTTAAGGCACTGAAAAATAGCCGAGTCATTTTCCTTCAAGTTTCTCATGACTTTAAGCTTTTCTAGAAAAGAATCTGTAAAATACTTAGATACTTGTTTAGGATCTCTGAGATAATGTAAGTTGAGAACAGAAGCTATGAGGTTGATGTAAGCTTCAGAGAGAGTGGTATGGCTGAATATTTTCAGAAGTAATTCCTGGGAAGCTTCAGTAGAGGTTTTAACATTTTTCTCTTCTTTAAATCCTGTATAAAAGAAAGTAGATTTTCTAACAGAATTAGAACATTATTATACAGGTAATAGCAGTTCACCATTTTTTTATACTGTATTTTTTCTAAAAAATATGAATACTGTACTTATCTAAGTACAATATGAGAATACTATTATCCAAATAAACACAAGCTCTACTATAGACAGTGGACCCCCGCTTAACGATCACCTCCCAATGCGACCAATTATGTAAGTGCGTTTGTACGTGTATGTTTGGGGGTCTGAAATGGACTAATCTACTTCACAATATTCCTTATGGGAACAAATTCGGTCAGAACTGGCACCTGAACATACTTCTGGAATGAAAAAATATCGTTAACCGGGGGTCCACTGTATATGGTTACAGGATGAAATATATATATTGTGTACACAGGCCTTCCTTCAAGGAAGTTGCCTCGATGCCAGTGAAGGGCTTTTGATCCAAGAAATAAAACCTACCATTCCCTTCCCTGCACTGAATCTAATTGCCTCCCATTCCCAGCCATTGTATTGCCCCTAAGGGTTTAGTGCTCCCCCATGAATTTAACAACATTAATCAAAACAGGCCTTAACTTAATTTCTGTGTCTTCTGGGCCACTGGCAGGTAGACAATATTATCAGGGTGTAGCAGCCAAGAAAATAATATTGTACAAGTTACTGGATAAACATGAGCATTATTTTACACAACTGGTGGTGTGAGGACCATTAAAGTGTCGTGCTCTTTGTGCTTATATTCTGCTTGTATTTCTGTCAAGTTGTGTGATCTGGAGAACTGGAGCTATCCTACCTTTCCTCAGATCAAACCTGATTCTCCCATTTCCAGGCCACTCTTAACCCTTATGGGTTTGGTGCTTACCCACAAATCAAATGTAGTAATAATAGTCAAGCTGTGCTACACTTACTAGATAAAAGGATATAAAGTAATCAAAATTTTGCAACACCTTAATTACTACGTATTTTACCAAAAGTCTATTATGTTCAAGAAATTTTTCAAAAATAACAACACTTACCTTGTTCCAGGACAAATACAAGTGCATTTACAAGCCTCTTGTCAGGCGTTGGTGAGGATAAAATGAGTGGCGAGATGAGCTCTATGCACCATTGTATATCCTGGCAATGTTTAGTTATGATGGCTGCCAATTCACCCATAATTGCTTTGTGTGTGGTCATGTCCTTTGTCCGGCCTGAAAACTCCAATAATGTGGTACACACAGCCTATGAGGAAAAGTTTGAAAAATAAGATGGTGATTTTAAAGTATGATTTTCTAGTAGTTTAAAGATCTAATATTAAAGGAATGGCTACAAAAAGAAAAAAAGAGTAATATTTTTTTAACACGTCGGCCGTTTCCCACTGAGGCAGGGTGACCCAAAATGAAAGAAAAGCCCAAAAAGAAAGAAAAAAAACTTTCATCATTCAACACTTCCACCATCACTGAGGTGCTCAGATACGACATTTTAGATATCCCCTCCAAGCTGCCAGTGTCCCAGATCCCTCCTTTAAAGTGCAGGCATTGTACTTCCCACTTCCAGGACTCAAGTCCAGCTAACTGGTTAATATTTTTTTTTTTTTTTTTAACAAGTCAGCCGTCTCCCACCAAGGCAGGGTGACCCAAAAAAAAAGAAATAATATCCCCAAAAAGAAAATACTTTCATCATCATTCAACTCTCACCTGACTCACACATAATCGCTGTTTTTGCAGAGGTGCCCAGAATACAACAGTTTAGAAGTATATACGTATAAAGATACACAATATACCCTTCCAAACTGCCAATATGTATTAGTATCAATTATTTTTAGCATTAGTGCAGTACATTACACATATTAAGGAAAGCTCATTGGCTTAATAATAAAATGAATAAATGTAACCCATTATATTGGCAAACCCTCGCTGTTGAATAGTGTAAGTGCTCCATTTTTTATCATCCCATTATTCATTTAATTTTTTAGGTATTGTATTTCTCTCACATAGCTGTTCCTCAATGTCCATTATTTCATTCCACAGATAGGTCATAACAAATTCTTTCAACAGCTTGCATCCAAAACCAAAGGCTTAAATATAAAATTGCAGCTCAAATTCCTGAGTAAATTACAGTACCTGGTAATTATGTACATTTGCCATAGCACACAGTAGCTTTAGTGTTTTGGCTTGAAGGTTTGGATCAGAATGATACAGACAGTCAAGGACAGCTTCCAGATGACTAGACGTGAGTGCTTCCTCTAGCACTGAGAACACACTCGCAAGAGCCTTTAAACCCACATATTTGAGGTTCACATTTGAGCTCTTGAGAAATCTAAAAATAATAATAATTATTATTATTATTATTATTATTATCATTATTATTATTATTATCATTATTATTATTATTATTATCATTATTATCATTATAATACAGATATTAACAAAAAATGCTAAACCCTTTAGAAAGATGTCACCCCTCTCATATATTTTTTTTAACGCACTGCCCGTCTCCCACCGAGGTAGGGTGACCCTAAAAAGAAGAAACATTTTCATTCACTCTATCACTGTCTTGCCAGACACACCAATACTACAGTTCAGGTGCTCTTCCAAACTGCAAATATTCCCATCCCTCTTTCAGAGAGCAGGTACTGTACTTTCCACTTCCAGGACTTAAGTCTGGCTAACAGGTTCCCCTGAATCCTTTCATACATGTTACCCTGCTCACACTTGAACAGCACATAAAGCCATAGACACCACTTGCTTCCACTCACTTTAATTTAACATGCTCATGTTGTAAATATATTTTAAAGTATTATTTTTCACAAATGCTGTATATCTTAAACTGTACAAAAACATTTATACATATTACATTACACATTAAGATGGCTTGGTTTTAATTAAGCTGCATCATTCACACTCCTTCAGGAATTGCTACGTATTACTGGAATATAGTATCGGTACCTTGCTTTACAATTGTGTAGTAAGGAGTAAAGAAGAAACAGCAATCACAGACACTCATCGTATACAGTACTTTTATTAATAAATATATTAATGGAATTCAAACACTAATGTAGGTAATTATTGCTAAATACACACAGTATTAACAGATCTCCATAAATACTGTAAACTTTGCTAGCCAAAATGACCTCTCTATTTCTTTGGTCCTATAGAGGAGGGCCCTGTTTATACAGGCTACCGCTGTAAAGTGAAGATCGCTGTAAAGTAAAACATATCTTTTTTTCACTTTGAAATACAAATAAAAGCCTGATAACATGTTTAAACTATCATATACAGTATTAAATGAGCAATAGAGCTAGGCCTAAAAAATGCACATACAGTACATACATTACTTACCTTAAAATATTTTTGTCCTTTGCTTATAATGAGTGGTGAATATATTTATTGTAGGAAGTGTGAATAAATGAAGAATGGGTATGACTGAAAAACTGCTGCAATAGTGAAACACTAAAAAAGGCCCTCCTGTATACCATTAATTATGAAAAATTTTCAGTTAGATGGTCATTGTTATTGGGCAGTCATGTGGATTACTTTCATCCATTCCAAGAATTACTTTCATCCATTCCAAGAATATGTAGTGTACTACTGTAATTGTTTATGGAAATTATCACATTTATGGAAGATATTAAGTTTTACCCTTAAACTGTTTGCAGTCAATGTCCTGGTCAGCTTTTTCATATAATATTACAGTGTGTAGTAAAGCAGGTGTGAATCTACATGTTGAACAGTTTAAGGGGTAAATTTGCTGTCATTTTTATACTGCATGGGTAGCATAAAAATCAAACATCCACATGGCTACAAATGAACCTGTATATATAGCAGACGTTCCATTGCAGTTAGAGTTAACGGTTGCATAGCACATGACTTTGAAAACATATAAATCTTACTCAGGAAATGTACTTACCCTAAAACCACCTTAAGAATACTAGATATCAAGTTATCCTTGTGTGGAAGAGACGTGACTGTAAACACACACTCCAACAGCACTGCATAAAGACAAACAGACTTGCCCCCCCATGGCTGACTTAACACTAGTTCGATTGCTTCAATGACATCATTTGGAATTTGCCAGTCTTTAGTTGACAAACACTGAATAACTCTGAAACATAATAACATGTTATAATTACATAAATTATGGAAAATGGTGATGATGTTAGAAACAGGCTTTCATAATATTTTGTTCTGAAATATCTGTCTCCTACCATGTTAGTGACCCAAGTGAAAAACATCCCCACCATTCACTAAACAGATGTCTTGGCAGAAGTGCATAGACAACACAATTCAAATGATCCTCTATACTGTACCCCCTCCCCCCCAGTGTAAGTATTTTGCTTCCCATCTGGCTAACTTGTTTCCCTGAATCCCTTTCTAAATGTTACCTTGCTCACACTCCAACAGCACCACTTAGTATCAGCACTCACCCTAATCAAATATACTCAACTTGCTTCCTGGATGTTCAAACCCCTTCCATTCAAAAACCATTTGTAAACCATGTTCTAATTATAGGCCACATACTATGTTTTCTCTTAAATTATTTGTAAATTCTTAAGTTTTGAAACCGAAGACTGTTTTCAAGATTATGCAGAACTGCAATTTACAGTGGACCCCCGGTTAACGATATTTTTTCACTCCAGAAGTATGTTCAGGTGCCAGTACTGACCGAATTTGTTCCCATAAGAAATATTGTGAAGTAGATTAGTCCATTTCAGACCCCCAAACATACACGTACAAACGCACTTACATAAATACACTTACATAATTGGTCACATTCGGAGGTAATCGTTATCCGGGGGTCCACTGTATATGCAACATACTTGTTGTCTTAAGATTAAATTCAAATGTAAAGCCCATTTCCAACCTTTCACAAAAAATTCTATAGATATACCATATATTAATTCTCCATGGGGAAGTGGAGAAGAATTTTTCCTCTGTAAGCCATGCGTGTCATAAGAGGCGGCTGAAATGCCGGAAGCAAGGGGCTAGTAACCCTTTCTCCTGTATAAATTATTAAATGTGCAAAGAAGAAAAACTTCTTTTTCTTATTTTTTGGGGTCACCCTGCCTTGGTGGGAGATGGTCAGTATGTTAAAAAAAATTATAATAATTATTTTATATTATAGTACTTTTTTTTAATAAACTAGCTGTATCCCACCAAAATAGAGTGACCCAATAAGAAAAACAAGTTTTTCTTTTAACATTTGGTAATTTATACAGGAGAAGAGGTTACTAGCCCCTTACTCCCAGCATTATTATAGTCGCCTCTTACCACACGAATAGCTTACAGAGCAAGAATTCTTTTCCACTTCCCCATGAAGAATTACAGCATTATTAACGTTTTTTACTTGACTCTAATGTATTAACATTACCATTTCTTAATACACTTATTAGAGAAGTGCTAAATCCATACGTGTCATACAGCTCCTGGGAGAATGGAAGGCAATCAGGTTCGATCCAAGGAAAGGGGGATCATGAGCACTTCCCCCCCGTCCTCACTGACATCAAGAAATATCTCATGAGCCTTTGCAACTTCTCTTTAGAATCTCCCAAAAGCACAGTATCATCAGCAAAAAGTAACTGTCAACTCCCATTCTATATCTGATTCTCCATAGTTTAATCCCACCCCTCTCCCAAACACTAGCATTTACTTCTTTTACAACCCTATCTATATTTTATTTATACTTTACTATTCCCTACTGATTTCTGGATACCTTTTACTACCACACATTAAAAATTTAATAACTTACTTGGCCATAAAAATGCATAAAGCACCTAAATTTGTAATTCATATAGTATTGTACAGCATATATCTTTGAATCAAACCATGGTCCCTCAATAAGTGAACTAAAGACGCTACTGAGTCATACTAACCTTTCAGCATTTCCATTTTCAATCCCTAAAAACCTGTTTCTGCAAAGAAGAGAAAAATAGAAGGAAAGAAAATGAAAGCAAGAGAAAGATTCTCACCTAAGCATCTGAATCTGAACAAATGGTGCAGGTAAAGAATTAACTTGGTAGTCTCTGGGAAGGGAACCATTCAGTGCTTGTGTCAAGAGGTGCGATGCACTCTTTGCAACTTGGTCACGTAACTCCGGCTTTTCATGACCACATGCCTGAGGGGAAACAAATTTGTATAAGGAACTTAGCAAAATAATGTCTAGACACACATACAGAAACACTAAATTGTTAGGCAATAGATTAAATGGCTACATATGCAATAGATCTTCATGGGGAAGTGGAGAAAAATCCTTTCTCAGTAAGCAATATGTGTCTTAAGAGGCAACTAAAATGCCAGGAGCAAAGGACTAGTAACCTCTTCTGTATAAATTACTAAATGTAAAAACAAGAAACTCTTGCTTCTTTTTTGGGGGGTCACCCTGCCTCGGGAGATATATACAATAGCTAAAGCAAACAGATTATGAAGAAATTAAAGAAATACTTTGACAGCTTACCATTAACCCAGAATTTTGGGAGGAAACTTTAGATAGTGTTTTGTTCCATCCTGGGTCATTCTATAGTCATAATTATGACCTCTTAATAATCCAGGATGAATCAAAATGCCACCTAAAGTCTCCTCTCCATTTTCAGGGTTAATAACAAATAGTTCAAGCTATGGATATTCTAGCCATGGGATACTGACTGTTTGGAGTGACATCTGAACTGTCGTATCTGAGCGCCTCTGCAAAGACAGTGATTATGTGTGAATGATGGTGAAAGTGTTTTTCTTTTTTGGGTCACGCTGCCTTGGTCAGAGATTGCCAACATGTTGAAAAAAATAATAATTGCTATGAATAGTACTTCTAACTAGGTTGGTAGACAGCAACCGCCCAGGGAGGTACTACCGTCCTGCCAAGTGAGTGTAAAACGGAAGCCTGCAATTGTTTTACATGATGGTAGGATTGCTGGTGTCCATTTTTCTGTCTCATAAACATGCAAGATTTCTGGTATGTCTTGCTACTTCTACTTACACTTAGGTCACACTACACATACATGTACAAGCATATATATACACACCCCTCTGGGTTTTCTAATATTTTCTTACTAGTTCTTGTTCTTGTTGTTTATTTTCTCTTACCTCCATGGGGAAGTGGAACAGAATTCTTCCTCCGTAAACCATGCGTGTTGTAGGAGGCAACTAAAATGCCGGGAGCAAGGGGCTATTATTATTATTATTATTATAATCAAGGGGGAAGCGCTAAACCCGTAGGATTATGCAGTGCCCGGGGGGGGGGGGGGATGTGGAAGGCATTCAGGCTTAATTCGGGGAACTGGAGCACAGATCCAATTCCCTAAATCAAGAGCCCCTCACCAACATCAAGGAACCTTCCATGAGGGGTAGCAAGGGGCTAGTAACCTCTTCTCCTGTATATATTACTAAATGTAAAAGGAGAAACTTTCGTTTTTCCTTTTGGGCCACCCCGCCTCGGTGGGCCGCCTCGGTGGGATACGGCCGGTGTGTTGAAAGAAAGAAAGTACTTCTAACAGGATAAAGAATAGTCATGTTATGAAACTTGTCACTGAGAAAGCAGATGATAGTTTTGAAATACTGAATTAGAATTATTTCATAAACTAGAGGCAGCATATACAGTGGACCCTCAGCTAACGATATTAATCCATTCCTGAAAGCTCATCATTAGATGAAATTATCGTTAGCTGAATTAATTTTCCCCATAAGAAATAATGGAAATCAAATTAATCCATGCAAGACGCCCCAAAGTATGAAAAAAAAAAAAGATTTTACCACATGAAATATTAATTTTAATACACACAGCTGACACTTACCTTTATTGAAGATCTGGTGATGATTGATGGGATGGGAGGAGGGGAGAGTGTGGAAGTTGTTAATGTTTAGAAGGGGAATTCCCTTCCATTAGGACTTGAGGTATCAAGTTCTTTTCCGGGGTTACTTCCCTTCTTTTAATACCACTAGGACCAGTTTGAGAGTCACTGGACCTCTGTTGCACAACATATCTGTCCATAGAGGCCTGTACCTCCCGTTCCTTTATGATTTGTCTAAAGTGGTTCACAACATTGTCATTGTAATAGTCACCAGCACGGCTTGCAATAGCTGTGTGAGGGTGATTTTCATCCATAAAGGTTTGCACTTCAAGGCACTTTGCACACATTTCCTTAATCTCTTTCTTCATATCCATAGTAATTCTCACCCTTTTCCCTGCAGGGTTGGCACTAGAAGCTAGCTCTCTTGGGGCCCATGGTGACTTATTTTGCAGGTACAATCACTATAAACACTGTGATAATATGAAATGTTCCGATTGTATGCGTGGATGTGACCGCACTGGCTGGCTTGTAAACGCTGGCACCCACGGGACAACTGAGGCGCGCTCAGGCCACACGTGGACGCGTCTCGAACAAATCGCGTTGGGTGAATTTTTTAGCATTAGCTGAGGCAAAATTTTTGCATTAAAATGTATCGTTGGCTGGATTTAACGTTAGCTGATGCCATCGTTAGCTGAGGGTCCACTGTATATGATTTTAAAGAAAAATTTTACGAAAAAAATATCAAAATCTCAGGTAGTGCCTTGATATATCATATAATACATATATGCAAATCTAACAACAGTAAATTACCTCAAACAAATCATCACACAACAAAAGGAAGCTATTTTGGCCATATCAGACATAAGCATTAACCCATAAACGGTCCAAGCAGATCTACGTTCATATGCGTAATGCTCCACAAGTAGATCTACGTTTTTTTATATATTTTTTTTTTCAACAAGCCGGCCGTTTCCCACCGAGGCAGGGTGACCCAAAAAAAGAAAGAAAATCCCCAAAAAGAAAATACTTTCATCCTCATTCAACACTTTCACCACACTCACACATTATCACTGTTTTTGCAGAGGTGCTCAGAATACAACAGTTCAGAAGCATATACGTATAAAGATACACAACATATCCCTCCAAACTGCCAATATCCCAAACCCCTCCTTTAAAGTGCAGGCATTGTACTTCCCATTTCCAGGACTCAAGTCCGACTATATGAAAATAACCGGTTTCCCTGAATCCCTTCACTAAATATTACCCTGCTCACACTCCAACAGATCGTCAGGCCCCAAGTACCATTCGTCTCCATTCACTCCTATCTAACACGCTCACGCATGCTTGCTGGAAGTCCAAGCCCCTCGCCCACAAAACCTCCTTTATCCCCTCTCTCCAACCCTTTCAGGGATGACCCCTACCCCGCCTTCCTTCCCCTATAGATTTATATGCTTTCCATGTCATTCTACTTTGATCCATTCTCTCTAAATGACCAAACCACCTCAACAACCCTTCTTCTGCCCTCTGACTAATACTTTTATTAACTCCACACCTTTTCCTAATTTCCACACTCCGAATTTTCTGCATAATATTTACACCACACATTGCCCTTAGACAGGACATCTCCACTGCCTCCAACCGTCTCCTCGCTGCTGCATTTACCACCCAAGCTTCACATCCATATAAGAGTATTGGTACTACTATACTTTCATACATTCCCTTCTTTGCCTCCATAGATAGCGTTTTTTGACTCCACATATACCTCAACGCACCACTCACCTTTTTTCCTTCATCAATTCTATGATTAACCTCATCCTTCATAAATCCATCCACCGACACGTAAACTCCCAAGTATCTGAAAACATTCACTTCTTCCATACTTCTCCTCCCCAATTTGATATCCAATTTTTCTTTATCTAAATCATTTGATACCCTCATCACCTTACTCTTTTCTATGTTCACTTTCAACTTTTTACCTTTACACACATTCCCAAACTCATCCACTAACCTTTGCAATTTTTCTTTAGAATCTCCCATAAGCACAGTATCATCAGCAAGAAGTAACTGTGTCAATTCCCATTTTGAATTTGATTCCCCATAATTTAATCCCACCCCTCTCCCGAACACCCTAGCATTTACTTCTTTTACAACCCCATCTATAAATATATTAAACAACCATGGTGACATTACACATCCCTGTCTAAGACCTACTTTTACCGGGAAGTAGTCTTCCTCTCTTCTACACACCCTAACCTGAGCCTCACTATCCTCATAAAAACTCTTTACAGCATTTAATAACTTACCACCTATTCCATATACTTGCAACATCTGCCACATTGCTCCTCTATCCACTCTATCATATGCCTTTTCTAAATCCATAAATGCAATAAAAACTTCCCTACCTTTATCTAAATACTGTTCATATATATGCTTCAATGTAATCACTTGATCTACACATCCCCTACCCACTCTGAAACCTCCTTGCTCATCCGCCATCCTACATTCTGTCTTACCTCCAATTCTTTCAATTATAACCCTACCGTACACTTTTCCTGGTATACTCAGTAAACTTATTCCTCTATAATTTTTACAATATCTTTTGTCCCCTTTCCCTTTATATAAAGGGACTATACATGCTCTCCGCCAATCCCTAGGTACCTTCCCCTCTTTCATACATTTATTAAACAAAAGTACCAACCACTCCAACACTATATCCCCCCCTGCTTTTAACATTTCTGTCATGATCCCATCAGTTCCAGCTGCTTTACCCCTTTCATTTTACGTAATGCCTCACGTACCTCCACCACACTTACATTCTGCTCTTCTTCACTCCTAAAAGATGGTATACCTCCCTGGCCAGTGCATGAAATTACCGCCTCCCTTTCTTCCTCAACATTTAAAAGTTCCTCAAAATATTCTCGCCATCTACCTAATACCTCCATCTCCCCATTTACTAACTCCCCTACTCTGTTTTTAACTGACAAATCCATACTTTCCCTAGGCTTTCTTAACTTGTTTAACTCACTCCAAATTTTTTTCTTATTTTCAATAAAATTTCTTGACAGTGCCTCTCCCACTCTATCATCTGCTCTCCTTTTGCACTCTCTCACCACTCTCTTTACCTTTCTTTACTCTCCATATACTCTGCTCTTCTTATAACACTTCTGCTTTGTAAAAACCTCTCATAAGCTACCTTTTTCTCTTTTTATCACACCCTTTACTTCATCATTCCACCAATCACTCCTCTTTCCTCCTGCCCCCACCCTCCTATAATCACAAACTTCTGCCCCACATTCTAATACTGCATTTTTAAAACTATTCCAACCCTCTTCAACCCCCCCCCACTACTCATCTTTGCACTAGCCCACCTTTCTGCCAATAGTCACTTATATCTCACCCGAACTTCCTCCTACCTTAGTTTATACACTTTCACCTCCCTCTTACTTGTTGTTGCCACCTTCCTCTTTTCCCATCTACCTCTTACTCTAACTGTAGCTACAACTAGATAATGATCCGATATATCAGTTGCCCCTCTATAAACATGTACATCCTGGAGCCTACCCATCAACCTTTTATCCACCAATACATAATCTAACAAACTACTTTCATTACGTGCTACATCATACCTTGTATATTTATTTATCCTCTTTTTCATAAAATATGTATTACTTGTTACCAAATCTCTTTCTACACATAGCTCAATTAAAGGCTCCCCATTTACATTTACCCCTGGCACACCAAATTTACCTACTACTCCCTCCATAACATTTTTACCCACTCTAGCATTGAAATCCCCAACCACCATTACTCTCACACTTGGTTCAAAACTCCCCACGCATTCACTCAACATTTCCCAAAATCTCTCTCTCTCCTCTACACTTCTCTCTTCTCCAGGTGCATACACACTTACTATAACCCACTTTTCACATCCAACCTTTATTTTACTCCACATAATCCTTGAATTTATACATTTATAATCCCTCTTTTTCTGCCATAGTTTATCCTTCAACATTATTGCTACTCCTTCTTTAGCTCTAACTCTGTTTGAAACCCCTGACCTAATCCCATTTATTCCTCTCCATTGAAATTCTCCCACCCCCTTCAGCTTTGTTTCACTTAAAGCCAGGACATCCAGCTTCTTATTCATAACATCCATAATCATCTCTTTCTTATCATTTGCACAACATCCACGCACATTCAGACTTCCCACTTTGACAATTTTCTTCTTATTCTTTTTAGTAATCTTTACAGGAAAAGGGGTTACTAGCCCATTGTTCCCGGCATTTTAGTTACTTTTACAACACACATGGCTTACGGAGGAAAGATTCTTATTCCACTTCCCCATGGATATAAAAGGAAAAGTAATAAGACCAAGAACTATTAAGATAAAATCAAAGAAAACTCAGATGAGTGTGTATGAATAAATGTGTACATGTATGTGTAGTGTGACCTAAGTGTAAGTAGAAGTAGCAAGACATACCTGTAATCTTGCATATTTATGAGACAGACAAAAGACACCAGCAATCCTACCATCATGTAAAACAATTACAGGCTTTCGTTTTACATTCACTTGGCAGGACGGTAGTACTTCCCTGGGTGGTTGCTGTCTACCAACCTACAACCTACTACATATTTTCAAACAAAAAAAAAAAATAAAAACGTAGATCAAAGTTTTTTTTTACACATTTTCAAATGTAAAAAAAAAAGATCTACTTTTTTACATACTTTCAAATGTTGAAAAAACGTATATATACGTTTGGACCGTTTACGGGTTAAAGAGAGTATGAACCATCATTTATTTATATTTTACTGCAATACAATACTGTAATACAGTGGACCCCCGGTTTACGATCAGCTCCCAATGCGACCAATTATGTAAGTGTATTTATGTAAGTGCGTTTGTATGTTTATGTTTGGGGGTCTGAAATGGACTAATCTAATTCACAATATTCCTTATGGGAACAAATTCGGTCAGTACTGGCACCTGAACATACTTCTGGAATGAAATAATATCGTAAACCGGGGGTCCACTGTACTATATAGTTAGTGCGGTATTCCTGTAGGCTTCACAGATAATTATAGAGATTAATTAAGGAAGGTGGGGATGTTGCAGTCAGAGGGTAATCTGAATTGCAATGTCAGCACAGTTCTGGAAAGACAGAAATTGAATGAATGATGGTGAATGTCTTATCTTCATTAGGTCATCCTGCCTTGGTGATACAAATAATTAGCCATCAGCATTACCCAAGAATGACTATAAGTAATTATACGGTGAATTTTTAAGAGAATTACTAATTGTAATATTTAAAATAAACTGGGTCTCAAATAGTTAAAGACCCTTCATTTTGTGAGACTACATTGTAGCTCAACTTTTGCCTTACTCTACCTATGGTAAGTACATTTATTATCATTGTATGTAACCTGACTAACCTTATAAATTTTGCAAAGGGAGTTAATGGCAGCTAAAGCTACTCCTGGATCTTGATCTGTCAACAGGTGAAGTAGGTGAGGGACCTGATTATTGGCAGTCTCCTGAAGATCTTTTCCACATTTTGTTGTCACCACGCCAACCATTATTGCAGCCCTTCGTCTTATATATACCTGACAATTTTTTAAATTTTAATCTTAAGATTAAGCAAGAGAAGTTTCTGCAAAAAAAAAAAAAAATTAAAATAAAAACCAAGCCAATCTGGCAGCAATCACTCAGTATTTAAAAAGATTATTGACCGAAGACACCAGTGGACATTTTTCAATGGCAACATGACTTATCAGTGTCCATGTTGATTTACCTTATCATCTTGACCGATGTAGCTCATCAGCACCTGAGCTGACAAAATTTAAGTGTCTGAGCCAACCTAACTTAACAAGTCTGAGTGTACGTAACCTTACAGCATCTGAATAGAAGTAACTTAACAGCACTGGCAACAACATAACAACAACATCCAAGTCTAGGTGATGGGCAGTTTTGTTAAGTCAAATCTTTTTCTGGTTAGTAATGTATCACCTACAGGTTTACCTGGAGTTTACCTGGAGAGAGTTCCGGGGGTCAATGCCCCCGCATCCGGTCTGTGACCAGGCCTCCTGGTGGATCAGAGCCTGATCAACCAGGCTGTTACTGCTGGCTGCACGTAATCCAACGTACGAGCCACAGCCCGGCTGGTCAGGTACCGACTTTAGGTGCTTGTCCAGTGCCTGCTTGAAGACACCCAGGGGTCTATTGGTAATCCCCCTTATGTATGCTGGGAGGCAGTTGAACAGTCTTGGGCCCCTGACACTTATTGTATTGTCTCTTAACGTGCTAGTGACACCCCTGCTTTTCATTGGGGGGGGGGATGTTGCATCGTCTGCCGAGTCTTTTGCTTTCGTTGTGAGTGATTTTCGTGTGCAAGTTCGGTACTAGTCCCTCTAGGATTTTCCAGGTGTATATAATCATGTATCTCTCCAGGGAGTACAGGTTCAGGAACTTCAAGCACTCCCAGTAATTGAAGTGTTTTATCTCCGTTATGCGCGCCGTGAAGGTTCTCTGTGCATTTTCTAGGTCAGCAATTTCACCTGCCTTGAATGGTGCTGTTAGTGTGCAGCAATATTCCAGCCTAGATAGAACAAGCGACCTGAAGAGTGTCATCATGGGCTTGGCATGCAGGTATGCAAAAAAAATAAATAAATAAAACAGGTACAAAGAACAAACCTTTGTTTGAACATTACACTGTAAACAAAGCTTAATAAAGCTCTGCATATAGAAAATTGTCCAAATAAAATCATATTCTTCATAGTTATGTAAAAGTTAAAAAAAACTTTTTGTAAATGGTAAATTTTGGCATTAAATGATGACTGTGTGTGTGTGTGTATATATTTTAATAAACAGTCAAGTTTCTTCATAGAATTTATAGTTAAGAATAAGAACATAAGAATGTAGGAACACTGCAGAAGGCCTACTGGCCCATACGAGGCAGGTCCTTATCAAAACGATCTCTACCTAAAGCCACCCAAGAAATAACTCCCGTACCCAATGACACCAATAAAAACCCAACCCCTCCCACTCATATATTTGTCCAGTCTCTTCTTAAAGCTACACAAGGTCCTAGCCTCTATCACCCCACTAGGAAGACTGTTCCACGCATCTACAACTCTGTTAGAAAACCAGTACTTACCTATGTCCTTTCTAAATCCAAATTTATCCAACTTATATCCATTATTTCTGGTCTTACCTGGTTCGATACCCTCAGTACTTTTTATATCTCCCTTGTTTTTGCCTGTCATCCACTTATACACTTCAATGATATCTCCTCTCGTTCTACGCCTCTCCAGAGAGTGGAGATTTAAGGCTTTAAGTTTATCTTCATACGGGAGGTTCCTTACACAGTAAATCATTTTAGTCATTCTTCTCTGTATGCTCTCTAATGAGTCTATATCCATCCTGTAGTAAGGACACCAAAACTGAGCAGCACAATCTAAATGAGGCCTCACTAGTGATGTATAGAGCTGCAAAATAACTTTTGGACTTCTGTTACTTATACTTCTTGAGATAAATCCAAGTAATCTGTTGGCCTTGTTGCACACCCTGAGATATAAAATTTATATGGAAAGTTTTAATAACATTCAAAAATCTAAAATATGTTGACCATTATCCCATAAGTACTTGATTACCTGTTGGTGTGCAAGGCAGTGTGTGAGAGCTGTGATGATGGATGGAGTGAGGTCAGGCGTGACAACAGTGGGAAGCGAGGCCAGTGATGCAGCAACTTGAAGAGCATTGGGAGAGGCTAGGTCTCGATGGATAGTGTTGACTAGAAGTAACGTAAGTTCAGACCCAGGATCAAGAGTCTGACTCACAAACAGATATCCTGAGAGTTTAAAATATTGGCATTTAACAATTTCTTATGTGCAAGTGAGTAACATTAAGTAACACAGGAAAAAAAAAAACATTTAATTTTCTTATGTTTACATGGCAACTTTTACTGTACCTTTCAATGCATATTAATAATGAAAAAGACTCCAGGGCTCTTACAAAAAATTGAGCACACACGGGCCATGTATATTATGGAATTAGGGGTAGAATTCCACGTTACTTACTTTTACCAAACACATTATGAGTATACAAGATTGGAACCAAACTGTTATTTACCAAAAATGTGACCCCCAAAAAAAAAAATGAGAAAAATTTAGTTCAGATTTTAATCATAGTCCGATTCCCTTCTACCTTTCTCCCTCCCTCCAACACTAACCAACTAGCCTGTCTTTATCTAGTGACATGTACATGTTATGAACTTGTGAATATGTACATATCTACTAATAGTACATATTTCCTCCCTAACACACCTCCACCCCACCCCTTGCCTCAACAGTGTCAATGCAACCCAACTTCTCTTGGCCAGGTGACTAAAATGGCAGGAGCAAGTGGCCAGTAACCCCTTTTTTCTGTATAAATTACTAAATGTAAAAAGAAAAACTTCATGAAAACATTTCTTCTTTTTCAGGTCACCCTGCCTGGTGGGGAGATGGCCGGTGTGTTAAGAAAAATAAAATTGATATTGTTAAAAAACAGCAAATGCCAGAAGGCAAGAGTGAATTGTTTATTGAGGCCATGTTTACAAACAGTAGCCTCCTGTAACTAATTTCTCTTCCCTTATACCAACTGATTTCTCTTCCCCTGTACCAACTAATTTCTCTTCCCCTATACCAATTAATTTCTCTTCCACTATACCAACTAATTTCTCTTCCCCTATACCAATTAATTTCTCTTCCCCTACACCAACTAATTTCTCTTCCCCTATACCAACTAATTTCTCTTCCCCTATACCAATTAATTTCTCTTCCCCTATACCAACTAATTTCTCTTCCCCTATACCAACTAATTTCTCTTCCCTTACACCAACTGATTTCTCTTTCCCTATACCAACTGATTTCTCTTTCCCTATACTGTACCAAATGATTTCTCCTCCCCTATACCAACCAATTTTTCTTCCCCTATACCAACTGATCTCTCTCTCCCTATACAAACTGATAACCTATCATGTCCTGTACTGGATTCAACAAAGCACCCAGGAACAAAAGGTTTCCCAACAATATGCTCTAGTTTTGCACGTGTCTTTTTATACATTGTTGGTACGTATACATATACCAAGTTTCTCTAACTACAGTCCCACAGAGCCTGTGTGCTAAGTACTATAAGCTTTCCTCTTTGTGCTTGAGGACACACTAACTGGCTTGGATTTAATTTAGCCAAAAAATTAATTTACTACGTAAAAAAAACAGATAAATTAGATGGAAACAAACAATATACTGTACAAATTTTGCAGTGTATGGAGGTTAAGATAATTTTTTATATTTTGTTAAAAACATAACATAAACCTTTCTTTTCTATATATGTTTTACATTTACAGCACAGATTATTAATGTACTAGTTTTCAGGAACATACTAACTGTCACACTGTAAAGAAGGATTATAATGTAAGATGATAACTAAATTGCGGCTAAGTGCATGTCACAGGCCGATACACAAATTTCTGTAAGTTGTCATCCAGTGAAAATAAACTAACCAATTTTTTTGTGTAGGATATTAGGACTCTGGGTTAATTTGATAGCATGTATGTGAAGGCTTGGGAGAGTGTAGCCACGCACATTAACGAGGAGTGCACGACACAACAGATCAGCTACTACTGCACTACCAGCACCAGGACTGGACAACAGCTTCACCCATTCTCTGCTTTCATGCTCCACACAGTGCTCTTCTTCCTGGAAATATAGTAGAAAATAAATCTATTCTAATTAAACAACATATGATAAATATTGCACTGTTCAAGCATATGAAGAAAAGGCTGCCTATTTAAATTATCTGGCATTTATATATTTTTATTTTTGGTATTAAATGGCTTGACCTGTCTGTATGTCATAGCTAACAAGTTTCCTTGCAATATCTGTAATACCTGGAGAATACCCGGAGAGGGTTTCGGAGGTCCACACCCCCCTGGCTCGGTCTGAGACCAGGCCTCGTGGTGGATCAGTCTGATCAACCAGGCTCTTACTGCTGGCTGCACACAAACTGACACACAAACCACAGCCCAGCTGGTCATAATACTGTATATATAAAATAATAATCTGAACAACTTTCAAAACAAAATCTCATCTTGTCTTTTCTAACAGTACTTTTGTTACAATAGCTGATGTCAACCAAACAAAAAAAATTAAAAAAAAATTCTGTCAGACACTGCAACTTCTTGGGATCTTAATACTTAGGAATTCTTCGCTTGCCTAATTCTTGGGCACGACCTACTTCCACATTGAACAAATGTAACACGACCTATGACTGCTGCACCTCTCCTGCCATACGGTTTATAAGCTGCTTCTCCGCTGATATGCCATATTCTATTCAAGATTGATGGACTGAACACATCGACTCAAGGTTGAGGGACTGACTACCTCATTCTCCTCCTGTTCTTCAAGTTTCTCCTTCGTATGGACTGATGAAGCCACTGTGTGGCGAAACGTTTCCTCAATAAAGATACCCAAGAGTTGCATATGTGTCTAATTTATCAAAAAAAAATTAAGCTAAAAGACAGTCCAAACACATCATTGTACCATCAACTAAAATTATAATTTATCTGTTTTCTATTCACCATATTCTACCATAAGAAGAATTTACACCTTGAGTCACAATACATGATAACCTAGGAAAAAATCATCTGCCTCACCCCTTCATATTTATTGATAAAAATGCCCTAATAATAACCATATTAAATTATTTCAACTTTACCTATCGCTTTATACAGTGTGTACTGTATATTTTACTGAAGTTTAATTTTTAACACATCAAGTATCTCCAACTAAATTAAGATGATAAAAAAAAAAAAAAAAAAAAGAGGAGGAAACACAGTCAGCATTATTCATTCAAACTCTGTCTTGCCAGAAGTGTGCTGATATCACAGTTCATAATTACAGTACTTTAGGCTGGAATACTGTTGTACACTAATGACCCCTTTCAAGGCAGGCAAAATTGCAGACCTGGAGAATACACATTATTATTATTATTATTATTATTATTATTATTATTATTTATTATTATTATTATTATTATTATTATTATTATTATCAAAAAGAAGCACTAAACCACAAGGGTTATACAGCGTGGAGAATATACAAAGAACTTTTATGGCATGTATAAGTACAATAAAGTACCTAGATTACTGGGAACGGTTGAAGTCCCTTGATTTTTACTCCTGGAACGCAGGAAAGAAAGATACATGATAATATACACTTGGAAAATCCTAGAGGGACTAGTCCCAAATCTGCACATGAAAATCAATTCCTACAAAAGCAAAAGACTTCGCAGGAGATTCAACATCCCCCAATGAAAGCAGGGGCACCATGAATACACTAGGAGACAACACAATAAGTGTCAGGGACACAAGACTGTTCAACTGCCTCCCAGCATACATAAGGGGGATTACCAATAGACCCCTGGCTGTCTTCAAGAAGGCACTAGACAGGCACCTAAAATCAGTACCTAACCAGCCGGACCGTGGCTTGTATGTTGGTTTATGTGCGGCCAGCAGTAACAGCTTGGTTGATCAGGCCCTGATCCACCATGAAGCCTGGTCACAGATTGGGCTGTGGGGGCATTGACCCCCAAAACCCTCTCCAGGTATACTCCAGGTAGGTCAAATTACCTTGAAATACATTATTAATGTCATTCATAAATCAAATTGGCAATTTTTGTAAAACCAAGCAAATTCCTTTATCATTTATCTTCAACCTTTTGTTAAAAATCCCCCAATTTGCTTTGTTTACTTTTATTGTTCATATTTGCATCCCCAGTTTCCAATCCTCTAAATTTATAATATATAATTGTACAGCACAGGTTTCCCTAGCTTTCTGTGGATTTGCTTTATGCAACTTTCTATTATGTGATGTATTATTTCTATCAGTAACTCCTTATAAGCGATACATGTTCACCGTCAGTGATTAGTAGTTCACAAAATGCAGGGAAGTCTTATTGTGTGGAATTAAATGTGTAAGGCCTAGTTGAACCATGAGCCTGGAACACAGCTAATGCATAAAACAAGGGACACCTGTATGCTCTCTCCTTGTAGAGCTTCACCAACAAAAACAAATAATAATTCCAACATAACAGAACATTATTGTCGCATACACCGTTATTATAGTATTAGTTTTTGATGTCCACTGTCCTGTATTTCTTTAAAGGCTCCTTTTTTTTTGTGCTAGAAATTAAGTCCATTTATTCATAAAAAAAAAGAGAACCAGGTTAACAGAATATACAGACAGTACTGGTGCAAAATTCTAATTGTAGTAACAAAACAAGTCAAATACCAGAATCAAAGTACAGTGGACCCCCGCATAACGATCACCTCCCAATGCAACCAATTATGTAAGTGTATTTATGTAAGTGCATTTGTACGTGTATGTTTGGGGGTCTGAAATGGACTAATCTACTTCACAATATTCCTTATGGGAACAAATTCGGTCAGTACTGGCACCTGAACATACTTCTGGAATGAAAAAATATCGTTAACCGGGGGTCCACTGTACACAACTTTCTTAATTTAATGATCATAAACGCAAAATGAATTCAGGCATATACGTACTGCTACTTATTTCGCTCATCAAAATTACACTTGAGTGAACCATTTTCTTGAGCTGGCAGCTATTTAATATTAATTATATACTGAATCATTTTGTTCATTTCCCCCATAATATTTCGTGTAAAAGTTCAAACAATGTACATTATTATTATTATATTCATAGGGAAGTGTTAAACCCATAGGGGTCATATAGCACCTAGGGGAATGGGAAGCATTCAGGTTTGATACATAGGAGAGGACAGGTCCAATTCCTTAGATTAAGAGCCCCTCACTAGCATCAAGGAACCTCCAAGAGGGTCAAGTAATGTACAAGTTGTGCAATGAATTCAATCATTACAGCAGAATCTAAACTAAGAGAATTCTGAGGTATGCACACTGTAAATGCTCTAATGACTGATACAAAGGAGCACATGCAAGCCATCAGTAATTAAACATTTGCTGGAGATATAAAGCCATTTTTAATGAAACTTTAAAAGCATTTAAAATCAGCAAGTGCAGAATGCTTAACACAAATGAAAAATTATTATTATTATTATTATTAATTTTTTAACACATCAGCTGTTTTCCACCGAGGCAGGGTGACCTGAAAAAGAAGAAACACTTTCATCGTCACTCACTTCATCACAGTGGTCTTGCCAGAGGTGTGCAGATACTATAGTTCAAAAACTGAAACATATCTCCATCCCTCCTTCAGAGTGCAGGCACTGTACTTCCCACCTCTAGGACTCAAGTCTGGCTAACTGGTATTACAATTATTATTATTATTATTATTATTATTGGTTAGTGCTAAACCAGCCAGGGTTATACAGTACCAGTGGAATAGTAGGCAACTAGGTATGATCCAAGGAAAAGGAGAGTAGCATACACATACACAAACAAGCAAACATTTACGAAGATGCATTAATTAGTTGTGAATTACAACACCTGTTTGGATATCCTACGTGCAGCCTGAAGCTTTTCAACGAAGTGTACCAAGCCAAGTGATACATTCTTCAGACCAGACACTCCAGACACACTCTGAGTGATTGAGTTGTTGGCACCACTTGTTCCCAAGAGGCTGTGCACAAGACCAGTAAATGTCTTCTCCAGTACATTGGACATTTCTAACTGGTGCTCCCCTATCTCTTGTTATCAAACATTTCTGAAGAACATCAAATTATGAATTTAAATAAATAGGATAATGAAATAAGAAGAATCTACTTACTCATCAACATATTACTGAAACATCCTATCTCCTGTTTTCAAACATTTCTGAAGAACATCAAATTATGAATTTAAATAAATAGGAAAAATGAAATAAGAAGAATCAACCTACTCATTATATTATTATAATCAAAAAGAAGTGCTAAACCAAACCTACTCATTAATATACTTTTGAAATGTAGTATGTACACTTCTGGTTAGATCTGAACTTTAGAGATACCACACCTATCAGGAATATATTAATCAATAGTATAATTATAATTATTATTATTATTATTATTACATTCATGAGGAAAGTGCTAAATCCATGTGAGTCATTCAGCACCAGGGGAAATGGGAGGCACTCATTTTCAATTCAGGGAAAGATAGAGGTACGTAGTACTTTGAAAAATACTATTTCCCAGAATGATCCACCCTAATTATTATTACTATTATTATACTCACAGAAAACAGTAAACCCTTGTTAGCAATTCATTGTTGTACGGTAAAAGGGTAGCTGTCATTAGAGGAAAATGCGAAGTGGTGTGCAGGGTGAATACAAGAGTAAAAAAAAAAAAAAGAGGAAATCATTGTTGATACAGTAAATCAGTTTTTGTTAAAGTCACTGAATCTGGTTTAAAGGCTGGACCTTCAGAGGCAAGCAGACAGATTAAGCATATCAGGGCACTGAGGGAGAGGCAGAAAATTAAGTTGGCATATTCTCTGATGAATAGAAAAATCTTACTAAACAATTGTTCACTTGGTACCTCACTTTTGGTACATTAAAAGAAAACTAATCAATAGCCTGTCTAGTTCTTAAGCAGTCTATAAGCATTAGTATTAGTCTACCCAAAATGTTCCACATGCTAGACAATTCAGGATCAATTTAACAGTTCTACACTGGTGGTAAACGGCCTATATGCCCCCCCCCCCAAAAAAAAAAAAAAAAAAAATTACCAGAACCTAATCCCTGGCTACCAATTATAAGTAAGTTTATTCAGATATACACAAATACAGTTACATAGATTATCATACATAACAGCATATATGTAGATAACCTAGGACCCCAATGGAAATAAGTCACTCTGACTTTTTTGGGTTATCCTAGGTTCTCTACACATATGCTGCTATGTATGATAATCTGTGTAACTGTATTTGTGTATACCTGAATAAACTTACTCACTTACTTGCTTACTTTACCCCCAAAAATGTCAAAGTGACTTATTTCCATTGGGGTCCTTTGGGTTTCCATTTCCTTTATTCACATTTCTGACGTCACTTAAACAATGAAAGCAGTACGTTAAACACGTTTCATTAATTGTTAAAGAAACAATTAAAAATATCTTTTATCATTACAGTGGTTTATTAAGACCAAAAATATAAAATAATCCTCACCCCTGACACACCATGTAAACAAATAATGAGTGTTGCCAGTCAAGCCAACTAAGGTAGCAAACTTTGCTCTGCTATGCTAAGTGTAGCATAAAATAAATAATTTATTTTCCATAATAATATTTGCCTAAAAATACCGTTCAGTTTGAGTAAGATTTAAAAAAAAAAAAAACTTTCAATTCCTCTCTGTATTTTGCACGTTGTAATCATGTAATCATGTAATCGTTGTAATCACCTGAATTTCAGCACCCATATCCAGCATATAACCAAAAAAGTATCCAAAACGGTTGGGATCCTCTCCAAGATACGATACTACGTGCCGCAAAATGCCCTTCTCACACTATACCACTCACTTATTTATCCATACCTCACCTATGCTATTTGTGCTTGGGGATCAACTGCAGCAACACACCTAAAGCCAATAATAACCCAACAAAAAGCTGCAGTAAGAATAATCACTAAATCCCATCCCTGGCAACATACCCCCCCCACTCTTCATAGACCTAAACTTACTCCCTGTTCAGTACATCCACACTTACTACTGTGCAATCTACATCTACAGGGCCTTAAACTCTAATATCAACCTTGACCTAAAACGCTTTCTTGATAGTTGTGACAGAACCCACAGGCATAACACCAGACACAAACATCTCTACGACATTCCCCGGGTCCGACTAAACCTTTACAAAAATTCAATGTATGTCAAAGGCCCTAAAATCTGGAATACCCTACCTGAGAACTCTAGAACTGCAGACACATTCATCACCTTCAAAACTACCATTAGAAAACATCTTATCTCCCTGATACACCCCGTCAACTAACTACACGAATACCACCTGGTGGTTCACACTTACACTCACTCATTTGACCATAAACAGAAATATTAATCTCAATCTTAAAATAATGAATCCTGTGATACTCCAATACTGAAACTATGTACTGTGCCAAAACAAAAGCATTCACATTGCTAAACTCACAAACTAGTATTTAGTCACTTAGCCATAATACCAACTTACCTCATAATTTGTAATATTTTACAATTAAGAATAAAACTAAGTATGCCCGAAATGCCTAGCCATGCTAAGCGTTCTAGTGGTACACTCTGTAATCACAATTTTACTACATGTAAACCACACAATAACCAAATTTCTGTAAACTCAGCATTGTAATCCTTATAGAGAATAAACTTTGAATTGAATTGAATTGAATGTCACCCCTGGTCATTCTAGCCTAGGTAATTTACACTATGTATGATAATTGTACTTATGTTTTATATTGTGTACCTGTACCTAAATAAAATTACTTACTATAGTGTCATCAACTTTAACTTCTCATAGCTAATGCCCCTCAATTCTGGGACTAGTCTTGTTGCGAGCCTTTTCATTTTGTCCAGCTTCTTAACGTGCTTTTATCAAATATGGGCTCCATACTGGCGCTGCATACTCCAAGACGGGCCTGACACATGTATAGGGTCGTGAATGCCTCCTTGTTGCTCCTAAAAGCTACCCTTAAATTTGTCCATCTTGTGTTAGCTGCAGCTGTTATCCAGTTGATGTGTGACGCAGACAAAATTTTCGGAATTATGTTCACCCCGAGGTCCTCTTCCAGGGAGGTTTGTGGCATTTGTCCCTTGTGCCAGTACACTATTTTCCGGTCTTCTTCCCCAATTTTCTTAACTTTTCATGTCCTGGAGTTAAATTTTAATAGCCACTGGTTAGACCAATCCTGCAGCTTGTCCAGGTTAATTTGTAGTTTTTTCCTGGTCTGCTCATTCTTGTATTGATGTCTGACCTTTGTGGGTTTAGCGCTTAGTTATGATTATAATAATAATCCTGCTTCTATTTTTATTCGTTTCACGTCATCTACAAACAGGGACACCTCTGACTTGATATCTTCTATCGTGTCATTTACATACACAAGAAACAAGAAATAGTACTGGTGCATGTACTTACCCTTGTGGGACCCCACTTGTCATACACATTTAAGCAAACACCTCCATGACAAGTGTGACAATAACTCGCAGTTTCCTTCATTTGAAGTATTCGTTGAGCCACTAGTGCTTATTTTTCTTGTTATTCCTATCTACTCCTTTAGCTCTGGTCCCAGTCTCTTGTGAGGTACTGTATCAATGCCTTCTTACAGTCCACCCATCTCTCTTTCTCCTACCAAATTTTCGTTGCCTCCTTATAGAACTTTAGCAGATCTGTGATACAGGATTTACCATATCTAAAACCATGTTGGCTGTTGATAACAAATCCGCTCTTTTCCAGGTGCTCCACTACTCTTCTTTTGATAATATTCTCCATAACCTGACCTAGTATGTCACTGGCACTACTTTGTAGTTTAAAGCTCCCCGTCTGTCCCCTTTTTTTTAAATATTGGGACTCGCCTATACATGCATGTATACAAGTATACATACAAATGTCAAAGATAGATTGTATTAAGAAAGAGGGAGTAAAGGAAATATAATAATAAAATGTTCTGCGAGGTATGGAATTTGTAGCCATTAATCTTATTAAAATCATGGGGGAGCGCTAAACCCGTAGGATTATACAGCGCATGTGAAGGGATGATGGGAGGCATTCAGGCTCAATTCAGGATATTGGAGCATAGATCCAATTTCCTAGATCAAGAGCCCCTCACTAGCATTTGTAGCCATTAATCTTTCCAGGTTAATAGGCTGAACCTTGTAGGCCTGCGCCCAGCATACTGTCTACATACATAACAAGCTATTAACTGGCTATTACCTTCATTTTACCAACGTTACATTGGCCAATATCAACTGACACTAGAATATGTACAAATAAACCGCCATGTATTACAACGCAAGATTTAATTTGGGATTTATTTATTTTGTGTGTACTACCGTCGAAATTGCCCAAATGACAGCTGTGGCTGGAAAATAGACCAATGGGAGAGGAGATTAAAGGAAGTTGGGTTTCTATTGGCTGGTGCTGGTGGTGGCTGGGGTGATGGGCGAGGCAGCTGAGGCGCCCACAGCTGCACCGTCTGCACCAAGACTCGACCACCAGATCTGCCATTATTATCCTCGCACTTATCTTCGTTATTTTAAAGGCCAATCATTCTCTATGGCAACGAATAATGAGGCGTGAGTATTTAACTGCACTTTGAGGTTCAGGTGCCATGAATGGTGCTTGCTGGAGTGAGAGAAAGGTGAGGGAAGGCTACTGTGAAGGAGTCGTATTCACTCTGTGCTTGGCTGAATTATATTATCTTTTTACCTGTGCTATTTAATGGTGATAGAGGAGCAGTATAACACTCCAGAACTCTAGAGGAAGTCACAACTTTTATTCCCCGGGATTAGAGACCAACATTCATGTGTCTGTAATGTTTGCTGACGCAGTGGAAATTAATAATTTTATGTACTTTTATCTTACAAAAACGCATGGAATAATGACAGTTTATATGTAATAAAAACACAAATTTTAGTTAAAGGGAACTATTTAAAGAGAATTCCGCCAGTGTAACAAGTTTGTTAAACTCAGTAGATATTGTACTGAGTTAGTAAAGCCTGTTGCACAACCCTGACTTTATAAGTTTACTCGCTGTATAGCCCTTGTGGTTTAGTGCTTCTTTTTTATTATAATAATAATAAGTTTACTGTAACTGTAGTTTGTACCTGTATTACATACAGGATGAATCCTCTCAGTGTATCACTGTGGTGTAGCTGTAATACTGTGAGTAATATGACCATTGTAAAGCTTTCAACACTAAAACACGTTTTTTTTTTTTATCCATAAATAACCCTTATGGAGAAGGTAATACTTGGATGCTGGTGAAGAGCACTTGATCCAAGGAATTGGAACATCTCTCTCCTTCCTGTTCACTGTTTGATACCTATGGGTTTAGCACTTAATCATGGATATAATAAAAATTTGTGTGTTTGTAATTTGTGTTAATGCTGATAATTTGAAAGCTGATCATTTATATAAACTCTGATACTGTTTTAGAATTCAGTATAATTATAAAGGCGTATTATTGCATTCTGGGTAATATATTTTAGATCCATGGGGAAACTGACAGAACTGCTTATCTATTTTGCAGTTTTGCAAGAGGCTAAGGTGTGAGACGAGATTATATAAGACCCATTTTATAAAAGGCCATGAGTGAGAGGTATATCTGGTTGATTTGTTTGGGAATGATGGAGGTTGCTTTGGTATTTGAGTGTTGACTTTGATGGAGTGAAGATGTCTGTCTACTCTGCTCTGAGCACCAGTGATGAATTTCCTCATATCCTGAGCATTTGGTCTGGGCACCATATATTAGCTCCTTTTATTTTCCTGCTCTGTAGGTTTCTTCAGCTTGGGGGAAGCTGGTTGCTGACTCAGTTGGGTATGGGTATCTGGCTACTGGGGGTTTAGGCATGGAGCCCACATAATTAGGAACTTCTTGTTTCCATTTCTGTTCTTGAAGGAGCTTGTGTTTGTTTCCCAGTTCCCACTCAGCTTGGGTCACTATTTCTTCCCAAGAAACTAGGAAACAGGGCTCAATACAGCATTAGCTGTAGTAACCCCATAAATCCTCAAAAAAGAAAGAAAAAGTAGGGTTTCTTTTTAACAGTGTGGATTCATTGGAACGTCTATATGCAGAAATGCAGAGAGAGAGGTAGTTTGTACACATTGTCTCTATGTTCCTAGGCTTGTGAGTGTTGTTTCTCCTTGAAGGCCTAATATAAGTGATGAACATATGACCCCATAAATGATTCACATTGCAGTGTTTGTATTGTGTCCAATTTCTGGAGGTTTTCTGGTGCTGCTGATGCATATGCTTGCCAGCAGCAGAGTAATCACTTTTGCTACAAATGTACTGTAGTGTAGAAATGGAGAAGAATTTTGCTATGTTCTCCCCAGTGTGTGCTAGTTTGGGTTTTGAGGATGGTAAGCCTTGACTGGGTGGTATTTTGGAGATGTAAGATGCATTTTTTTTTCTAGGTGAGGAGTTCTGAGTCGAGGTACATTCCTAGGTATGTGTTCCTTTCATGTTCAGTGAGGATTTTTGTGGTGATCGTGGGGCAATTGTTGTTTGTTTTTAGGTGAAAATTTGAATAGACATTCTGGCTTTATTAACTGCAGACCTCATTCGTGTATCTAGTTTGCTAGACAGTGTAGTACAGGTTGCATATGTACATGTTCGTTTATTTTAAGATGTTAGAGATGATTTCTTATATTGCTCTTGTAAATCATTAGCAAACTGCTGTATTGTATATTCTTTCTATTGTTGTGCACATTGTTTCCAGTATCTTTATTGTCTAATTATTTGTGCAGTATAAATCTATAGTGATATTTAACTAATAGCATTTTTTTCATTTGACTTACCAGAAGGAATATTCATAATGGAACATAAAGTAAAATATAGCATTTACCAGTATGTTGTGAATATGAATTAAATGTTGAAGTCAGGTATACTGTGTGTACTTAATTTGCGGAGAATTAATGCAAATTGAATTCCTGCATCTTAAAGCTAAATGTGAATGCTTGTAAGAGAACAGTACTGATAATTTTGTATAGTATTCCTTTAGGTCAGATGGAGAGAAACGGTATATAATTCTGACATGATAGAAAAAGACACAAATACAGTACAGTATAATGCAACAGCATTATAAAGTACAGTATCACATTATACTGCATTTGTTCCTTTAGCCCAGTTTATTTCTGACAATCTTGAACTCTTTCATCACATTATTGAATGCTGTATTTAACTGGAAACTATTTGGAGCAACTATAGCCTTATTTTTGTTTCTTAATTGGTTTTTGCAGTTTATTACCAAGAAATTCAGTATTAAAATTAATTTTACGTTTCAGAATCTTGGAAGAAATTGAGGCATTGCAGGCAATCATGTTGGATGAAGTAAAAGTCTTGCATGGAGATGGGTAAGTGAAGAAAAAGAAGAGTATACTATACATGTATATAATTTAAGGACATATCTTGAATGAAATTACTTACATTTCAGTAATAGAGCATTTGGTTCACAACTGAAAGAACCCAGGTTCAATCTATGGGTGCTAACCTTGTTCACCTTGCAGTAAATAGATACATACAGGTTATTCAGTTGTCGTGGTTGCCTTTTTGGGGAGAAGCCCTAAGGGCCTCTGTGGAAATATGTACACTGCTTGATTTTCAAGGTTATTAACTCTCCCATGTTAATAATCTACAGAAAGTTGCTGTCATTGCACAGGCAAGCAATGGTGGTAAATGGATGTTGTATGTACACTAGGTAGTCTTTCGAGATAAACCTGGTAAGGTATCTTAATGCTTGAAATAGTGAAAACCAGCACTATTAGCAGTACTGAATCTTATTAGCTCTGCTGTATCATTCATAGGAGAGGGGGCGTAATTCTTTAATGAATGGCTGCTCCCAAATAATTTCCTACAGTATAAGTGATTACTCTGAATTACAGAGGGTTATAGGGAAAGCATTACAGGCATTTTCTGCTTGTCTCATTGTACCAGACATACCAGCCATAAAAACCAAAGAAAATAAGTCACTCTTGATATTTTTTGGGTTATCCAAGGTAATTTACGCTATGTATGATAGTTGTACTTATGTGTACTTGTACCTAAATACGTAAATTTATTTACCCCACAGCAGTAGCATAATTGCTGTATTATAGAGTTTGATTTTATAGATAATTTACTGTATAATTTAGATAATCCATCAAAAAATATAAAATACAATTGAAAGCATTTATTTAAAAAACTGAGGATCTTCGACTGAAAAAGCAAATTGTCTCTACAGTAAGTCATTATTTTATAGTTTTCATCATATTTCCATTTTAATGGATCTTGCTGCCACAACTAAACGCTGATTAAGATACTAAGGAATATTTTTCTCATGTAGTGAGATATTTCTGAACCATCTTCAGGAAAAAAACATTCTCCACAAGATGTCTGTATTAGTTATGATAGGTGGGACTCATTTGAATTGAAATTGCTATTTCAATTATTTTAATACGTACATTGATTGTTTTCCACTAAGAGGGTAACCATACTCCCCCCCCCCCACCCAAAAAAAAAAAAGTTACTAATTCAATGGCTGTCTTTGCAGAAGTGCATGGACATCGCAGTTCAAATGATCACTGAATTTGTAACATCCCCGCTGTTCATGTTATTTCATAAAATTGTGTATTACACACACTGAACTTGGATAGGAGACCAATGGTACCTCTTCCTGTTGCCACAATGTAATCAGACTTCCCTTATTTATTATTAAGTATAATGGTGTGCACTGTATTCTACTGTATTTCATTAAGTGCAAAACGTGTCTGGGTCATTAAGCGCAAGGAATAGTGTAGAGGTGATTTTCTGTCTACTAATTGTGGCCCAGTCTCTGACCAGTCATTCTCTTTGTCATTAAATTGTCATACCTTTACAGAGGCGTGCCAAATGGTGTGGAAGTGGTGGTAGTGCCAGCTACTGCCCAAAACATTGAGGAGCAGCATGTTAGAGTTACCTTAGTATTGTCATTGCCCCCAGAATATCCTGACACCATACCCGTGATTACTCTCAGGTAAGGACAGTTCAAGACATGGATTCAAATGGCATTTTGCCAACAATAGTGAAACAAAAACACACATTGAAAAGATAACTCTTATTGGGACATTTCATTGCAGAGCTTTATCAAGCTATACACACAACTTAATAAAGCTCTGCATTGTCCTAGTGAAAGCTAACTGCAATGTTGTCCAAGTCAGCATAAATATATATTTATTTAATATTTGTGATTTGTTTGGCTTCTAATTAGACAGTGTTGGAATTGCTGTACTTAAGTCAAGATTATATCATCAAAAATTTCAGTTCCACATGTTTAATCTGGTTCTGTTTATTTTCAGGAATCCACGGGGTGTAGATGATTATGTTTTAGAAAAGATAAAACAAGAAAGCAAACAAAAATGTGAGGAGTATTTAGGCTGTCCAGTAATATATGAACTGATTGAGGTAAAGTGAAAACAAACACACATCATTCAGGTGGATTATTTAGTGAATGAAAAGACCTTTCATTATTATTGTAGCTGAAAACTAATGAAAATTACTAATGTTTTTTCATTTATAAATGTTTACTTAAATGAGTATTTTTAATAAATACTGTTTATCCTTCTTATTTTAAAATGCCTTATTCAGTTTAGTTTGATCAAATTGATTGATACAGGTACTCCTTGACTGACAATGGAGTTACATTCCTACAAACCTATCGTAGGCCAAATATGAATGATGAAAAATAAATAAGTAAATGAATAACTACTGTCACCCAATAAGTAAATAAATAATTACTGTAACTAAATACCAGTATTAAAATTAAATGAATAAAAGTTACAGACTTGCCACCTTCATGCTGGTAATTATTTTAAGTTTCATCTCCAAAGTAATTGCTCGTGCACCATTGTAATGTCAAAATATTGTAAGTCAAGGAGTGTCTGTATTTACATTTTCTTTATGGGAACTGTAGAAGGATTAAATTCCTAAACAGCAAAACTACCTATGAATATTCAGATTGATTAAAATGTAATTAAATTTTGTATTTTGTTTACCACATCATTTATCTCCCACTAAGGTTGGGTTATTGATTAAAATGCATTTAAATTTTGTATTTTGTTTACTGCATCATCTATCTCCCACTAAAGTTGGGTGATCCAAAGAAGGAAATATTCATCATTATTCATTCAGTAGCTGTCCTGCCAGAAATTCACAAACATGACTGTTCAGATGACCATTAAAAATCCAAACTTCCCCTCCCTTACCACTTCTAGGACTCATTTCGGGTAACCAGTTTGATTGAAACCCTTTATAAATGTTACCTTGCTCACACTCCAACAGTACAACATATCTCTAAAACCACATGTCTCCACTTTCCACAATCTAACGCATTTACACATGCCTACTGGATGCTCAAGTCCTTATCATCTAAAACCTTCATATCCACCCTCCAGTTCTTTCTGGGATGACCTTGTACTCCTCACTCTACTCCACACCATCTAATTCATGTTCCAGATTCTTTGCCTAATTCTCTACATAATATTCACTCCACATATTGCTCTCATATATGACATCTCCATTGCCTCTAGCCTCCTTGCTGCAACATTTAAAGACCATGCCTCACACCCATATAAAAGTGTTGGTACCATTATACTCTGGTACACTTACCATTTTTGCCTCTTTAGGTGAACTTCTCTCAATATCTCTCTAATGTAACAACTCCCACTTTGTATTAGATAATTTTTTTTTTTTTTTTTTTTTTTATTATCACACCGGCCGATTCCCACCAAGGCAGGGTGGCCCGAAAAAGAAAAACTTTCACCATCATTCACTCCATCACTGTCTTGCCAGAAGGGTGCTTTACACTACAGTTTTTAAACTGCAACATTAACACCCCTCCTTCAGAGTGCAGGCACTGTACTTCCCATCTCCAGGACTCAAGTCCGGCCTGCCGGTTTCCCTGAATCCCTTCATAAATGTTACTTTGCTCACACTCCAACAGCACGTCAAGTATTAAAAACCTTTTGTCTCCATTCACTCCTATCAAACACGCTCACGCATGCCTGCTGGAAGTCCAAGCCCCTCGCACACAAAACCTCCTTTACCCCTCCCTCCAACCCTTCCTAGGCCGACCCCTACCCCGCCTTCCTTCCACTACAGACTGATACACTCTTGAAGTCATTCTGTTTCGCTCCATTCTCTCTACATGTCCGAACCACCTCAACAACCCTTCCTCAGCCCTCTGGACAACAGTTTTGGTAATCCCGCACCTCCTCCTAACTTCCAAACTACGAATTCTCTGCATTATATTCACACCACACATTGCCCTCAGACATGACATCTCCACTGCCTCCAGCCTTCTCCTCGCTGCAACATTCATCACCCACGCTTCACACCCATATAAGAGCGTTGGTAAAACTATACTCTCATACATTCCCCTCTTTGCCTCCAAGGACAAAGTTCTTTGTCTCCACAGACTCTAAGTGCACCACTCACTCTTTTTCCCTCATCAATTCTATGATTCACCCCATCTTTCATAGACCCATCCGCTGACACGTCCACTCCCAAATATTGAATACGTTCACCTCCTCCATACTCTCTCCCTCCAATCTGATATTCAATCTTTCATCACCTAATCTTTTTGTTATCCTCATAACCTTACTCTTTCCTGTATTCACCTTTAATTTTCTTCTTTTGCACACCCTACCAAATTCATCCACCAATCTCTGCAACTTCTCTTCAGAATCTCCCAAGAGCACAGTGTCATCAGCAAAGAGCAGCTGTGACAACTCCCACTTTGTGTGTGATTCTTTATCTTTTAACTCCACGCCTCTTGCCAAGACCCTCGCATTTACTTCTCTTACAACCCCATCTATAAATATATTAAACAACCACGGTGACATCACACATCCTTGTCTAAGGCCTACTTTTACTGGGAAAAAATTCCCCTCTTTCCTACATACTCTAACTTGAGCCTCACTATCCTCGTTAAAAACTCTTCACTGCTTTCAGTAACCTACCTCCTACACCATACACTTGCAACATCTGCCACATTGCCCCCCTATCCACCCTGTCATACGCCTTTTCCAAATCCATAAATGCCACAAAGACCTCTTTAGCCTTATCTAAATACTGTTCACTTATATGTTTCACTGTAAACACCTGGTCCACACACCCCCTACCTTTCCTAAAGCCTCCTTGTTCATCTGCTATCCTATTCTCCGTCTTACTCTTAATTCTTTCAATTATAACTCTACCATACACTTTACAGGTACACTCAACAGACTTATCCCCTATAATTTTTGCACTCTCTTTTATCCCCTTTGCCTTTATACAAAGGAACTATGCATGCTCTTGCCAATCCCTAGGTACCTTACCCTCTTCCATACATTTATTAAATAATTGCACCAACCACTCCAAAACTATATCCCCACCTGCTTTTAACATTTCTATCTTTATCCCATCAATCCCGGCTGCCTTTACCCCCTTTCATTTTACCTACTGCCTCACGAACTTCCCCCACACTCACAACTGACTCTTCCTCACTCCTACAAGATGTTATTCCTCCTTGCCCTATACACGAAATCACAGCTTCCCTATCTTCATCAACATTTAACAATTCCTCAAAATATTCCTTCCATCTTCCCAATACCTCTAACTCTCCATTTAATAACTCTCCTCTCCTATTTTTAACTGACAAATCCATTTGTTCTCTAGGCTTTCTTAACTTGTTAATCTCACTCCAAAACTTTTTCTTATTTTCAACAAAATTTGTTGATAACATCTCACCCACTCTCTCATTTTCTCTCTTTTTACATTGCTTCACCACTCTCTTAACTTCTCTCTTTTTCTCCATATACTCTTCCTCCTTGCATCACTTCTACTTTGTAAAAACTTCTCATATGCTAACTTTTTCTCCTTACTACTCTCTTTACATCATCATTCCACCAATCGCTCCTCTTCCCTCCTGCACCCACTTTCCTGTAACCACAAACTTCTGCTGAACACTCTAACACTACATTTTTAAACCTACCCATACCTCTTCGACCCCATTGCCTATGCTCTCATTAGCCCATCTATCCTCCAATAGCTGTTTATATCTTACCCTAACTGCCTCCTCTTTTAGTTTATAAACCTTTACCTCTCTCTTCCCTGATGCTTCTATTCTCCTTGTATCCCATCTACCTTTTACTCTCAGTGTAGCTACAACTAGAAAGTGATCTGATATATCTGTGGCCCCTCTATAAACATGTACATCCTGAAGTCTACTCAACAGTCTTTTATCTACCATCATAATCCAACAAACTACTGTCATTTCGCCCTACATCATATCGTGTATACTTATTTATCCTCTTTTTCTTAAAATATGTATTACCTATAACTAAACCCCTTTCTATACAAAGTTCAATCAAAGGGCTCCATTATCATTTACACCTGGCACCCCAAACTTACCTACCACACCCTCTCTAAAAGTTTCTCCTACTTTAGCATTCAAGTCCCCTACCACAATTACTCTCTCACTTGGTTCAAAGGCTCCTATACATTCACTTAACATCTCCCAAAATCTCTCTCTCTCCTCTGCATTCCTCTCTTCTCCAGGTGCATACACGCTTATTATGACCCACTTCTCGCATCCAACCTTTACTTTAATCCACATAATTCTTGAATTTACACATTCATATTCTCTTTTCTCCTTCCATAATGATCATTTAACATTACTGCTACCCCTTCCTTTGCTCTAACTCTCTCAGATACTCCAGATTTAATCCCATTTATTTCCCCCACTGAAACTCTCCTACCCCCTTCAGCTTTGTTTCGCTTAGGGCCAGGACATCCAACTTCTTTTCATTCATAACATCAGCAATCATCTGTTTCTTGTCATCCGCACTACATCCACGCACATTTAAGCAACCCAGTTTTATAAAGTTTTTCTTCTTCTCTTTTTTAGTAATTGTATACAGGAGAAGGGGTTACTAGCCCATTGCTCCCGGCATTTTAGTCGCCTCATACGACACGCATGGCTTACGGAGGAAAGATTCTTTTCCACTTCCCCATGGACAATAGAAGAAATAAAAAGAACAAGAGCTATTTAGAAAAATTATCTTTTAATCCTACACATGTCCTCAACACCCTAGCACTCATTTCTTTTATAATCCCATCTACAAATATGTTAAACAACCATAGTGACATCACACATTTCTGTCTAAAGCATACTTTTACTGAAAAAGTCTTTTCTCTCCTTCCTACATTCCCTAATCTGAGTCTTGCTCTCTGCATAAAAAAAACTATAATACTTTTAGCAACATACTGCCTTTTCATACATTTGCAACATCTGCTGCATTGCTTCCATATCTACTTTTATCATATGCCTATTTTAAGTTGATAAATACAGCAAACCATTCCTTGTCCTTATCTGAGTATTTTGAAAATATTTGCTGCAATGTAAATACAATACTTGGTTTATACATCTCTCTACTTTTCTAAATCTTCTCTGTTGCAATTTGCCCATCTCTTTAACTTCCTAAATCTTCCTGCTTTGTCTTATTCCTAGCTGTTCCGGTGATGAGTTTGCTGTACACTTTACCCAGCATGTTCAGGCATATTTCCTTATAAATATTGCACATTTTCTTGCCCCTTTTTTTCCTTTACAAAGGAACTGTGCTTGCTCTTTGCTAATCCTTAGGTACCTTACCTTGTTTCATGCATATTTTGAATAAATACACCACCCACTCCAAAATATACTTCTGCATTGTTGGTATTTTTTAATGCATTGTTCTCCTTTGTTTCTTTGTTTAATAAATGTATGAAAGAGGGGAAGGTACCTAGGGATTGGCAGAGAGCATGTATAGTCCCTTTATATAAAGGAAAGGGGGACAAAAGAGATTGTAAAAATTATAGAGGAGTTAGTTTACTGAGTATACCAGGAAAAGTGTACGGAAGGGTTATAATTGAAAGAATTAGAGGTAAGACAGAATGTAGGATTGGTGATGAGCAAGGAGGTTTTAGAGTGGGTAGGGGATGTGTAGATCAAGTGTTTACATTGAAGCATATATGTGAACAGTATTTAGATAAAGGTAGGGAAGTTTTTATTGCATTTATGGATTTAGAAAATGGATATGATAGTGGATAGGGGAGCAATGTGGCAGATGTTGCAAGTATATGGAATAGGTGGTAAGTTACTAAATGCTGTAAAGAGTTTTTATGAGGATAGTGAGGCTCAGGTTAGGGTGTATAGAAGAGAGGGAGACTACTTCCCGGTAAAAGTAGGTCTTAGACAGGGATGTGTAATGTCACCATGGTGGTTTAATACATTTATAGATGGGGTTGTAAAAGAAGTAAATGCTAGGGTGTTTGGGAGAGGGGTGGGATTAAATTATGGGGAATCAAATACAAAATGGGAATTGACACAGTTGCTTTTTGCTAATGATACTGTGCTTATGGGAGATTCTAGAGAGAAATTGCAAAGGTTGGTGGACAAATTTGGGAGTGTGTAAAGGTATAAAGTTGAAAGTGAGCATAGAAAAGAGTAAGGTGATGAGGGTATCAGATGATTTAGATAAAGAAAAATTGGACATCAAATTGGAGAGGAGTGTGGAAGAAGTGAATTTTTCAGATATTTGGGAGCTGACGTGTCAGCGGATGGATTTATGATGGATGAGGTTAATCATAGAATTGATGAAGGAAAAAAGGTGATTGGTGCATTGAGGTATATGTGGAGACAAAAAAAAATGTTATCTATTGGAGGCAAGGAAGGAAATGTATGAAAATATAGTGGTACTAACACTCTTATATGGGTGTGAAGCTTGGTTGCAGATGCTGCAATGAGGAGACGGTTGGAGGCAGTGGAGGTGTCCTGTCTAAGGGCAGTGTGTAGTGTAAATATTATGCAGAAAATTCGGAGTGTGGAAATTAGGAGAAGGTGTGGAGTTAATAAAAGTATTAGTCAGAGGGCTGAAGAGGGGTTGTTGAGGTGGTTTGGTCATTTAGAGAGAATGGATCAAAGTAGAATGACATGGAGAGCATTTAAATCTGTAGGGGAAGGAAGGCTGGGGTAGGGGTCGTCCTTGAGAAGGTTGGAAGGAAGGGGTAAGGGAGGTTTTGTGGGTGAGGGGCTTGGACTTCCAGCAGTCGTGCGTGAACGTGTTCGATAGGAGTGAATGGAGACGAATGGTATTTGGGACCTGACGATCTGTTGGAGTGTGAGCAGGGTAATATTTAGTGAAGGGATTCAGGGAAACCGGTTATTTTTATATAGCCGGACTTGAGTCCTGGAAAAGGGAAGTATAATGCCTGAACTCTAAAGGAGGGGTTCGGGATGTTGGCAGTTTGGAGGGATGTGTTGTGTATCTTTATACGTATATGCTTCTAAACTGTTGTGTTCTGAGCACCTCTGCAAACAGTGTTTTTGAAGAGGTGCTCAGAATACAACAGTTTAGAAGTATATACGTGTAAATATACACAACATATCCCTCCAAACTGCCAATATCCCAAACCCCTCCTTTAAAGTATACCAGTATTTTAACTTAAACAGTACTATATTAATTTATGGTATCCTCAAGGTTGTCCGAGAGAATCTGACTGCAAACAACACTCCCAGCTGCCCATGTGCCATATGCCTCTACCATTTCACCGATACTGATGTTTTCACCAAAACTCCATGCTTCCACTATTTTCATTCATATTGTCTTGGCAGGTATGTGTAAATTTTGCACTAACAGCATGATGATTTAGAAAACTGCAGCATCAGGAACTACGTAGTGGTAGGAAGAGACTAAGGGGATAAATGCATTTGTAGGATTCATTACACAATTTACAAGGTATGATATAGCACACAATGAAAGTACATGTAGTTTGTTAGTTATGTATTGGTGGATAAAAGGTTGATGGGTAGGCTCCAGGATGTACATGTTTATAGAGGGGCAACTGATATATCGGATCATTATTTAGTTGTAGGTACAGTTAGAGTAAGAGGTAGATGGGACAAGAGGAAAATGGCAACAACAAATAAGAGAGAGGTGAAAGTGCATAAACTAAGGGAGGAGGAAGTTCGGGTGAGATATAAGAAACTATTGGCAGAAAAGTGGGCTAGTGCAAGTATGAGTAGTGGGGGGGTTGAAGAGGGTTGGAATAATTTTAAAAATGCAGTATTAGAATGTGGGGCAGAAGCTTGTGGTTATAGGAGGGTGGGTGCAGGAGGAAAGAGGAGTAATTGGTGGAATGATGAAGTAAAGGGTGTGATAAAAGAGAAAAAGGTAGCGTATGAGAGGTTTTTACAAAGCAGAAGTGTTATAAGAAGAGCAGAGTATATGGAGAGAAAAAGAAAGGTAAAGAGAGTGGTGAGAGAGTGCAAAAGGAGAACAGATGATAGAGTGGGAGAGGCACTGTCAAGAAATTTTAATGAAAATATGAAAAAATTTTGGAGCGAGTTAAACAAGTTAAGAAAGCCTAGGGAATGAATGGATTTGTCAGTTAAAAACAGAGTAGGGGAGTTAGTAAATGGGGAGATGGAGGTATTGGATAGATGGCAGGAATATTTTGAGGAACTTTTAAATGTTGACGAAGAAAGGGAGGGGGTAATTTCATGCACTGTCCAGGGAGGTATACCATCTTTTAGGAGTGAAGAACAGCAGGATGTGAGTGTGGGGGAGGTGCATGAGGCATTACCTAGAATGAAAGGGGGTAAAGCAGCTGGAACTGATGGGATCATGACAGAAATGTTAAAAGCAGGGGGATACATAGTGTTAGTGGTTGGTATTTTTGTTTAAAAAAATGTATGAAAGAGGGGAAGGTACCTAAGGAGTGGCAGAGAGCATGTATAGTCCCTTTATATAAAGGGAAGGGGGACAAAAGAGATTGTAAAAATTATAGAGGAGTTAGTTTACTGAGTATACCAGGAAAAGTGTATGGTAGGGTTATTATTGAAGGAATTAGAGGTAAGACAGAATGTAAGATTGCAGATGAGCAAGGAGGTTTTAAAGTGGGTAGAGGATGTGTAGATCAAGTGTTTACATTGAACCATATATGTGAACAGTATTTAGATAAAGGTAGGGAAGTTTTTATTGCATTTATGGATTTAGAAAATGGATATGATAGTGGATAGGGGAGCAATGTGGCAGATGTTGCAAGTATATGGAATAGGTGGTAAGTTACTAAATGCTGTAAAGAGTTTTTATGAGGATAGTGAGGCTCAGGTTAGGGGTGTGTAGAAGAGAGGGAGACTACTTCCCGTTAAAAGTAGGTCTTAGACAGGGATGTGTAATGTCACCATGGTTGTTTAATATATTTATAGATGGGGTTGTAAAAGAAGTAAATGTTAGGGTATTTGGGAGATGTTTGGGATTAAATTATGGGGAATCAAATACAAAATGGGAATTGACAGTTACTTTTTGCTGATGATACTGTGCTATTGGGAGATTCTAGAGAGAAATTGGAAAGGTTGGTGGACGAGTTTGGGAGAGTGCGTAAATGTATAAAGTTGAAAGTGAACATAGAAAAGAGTAAGGTGATGAGGGTATCAGATGATTTAGATAAAGAAAAATTGGATATCAAATTGGAGAGGAGGAGTGTGGAAGAAGTAAATTTTTCAGATATTTGGGAGTTGACGTGTCAGCGGATGGATTTATGAAGGATGAGGTTAATCATAGAATTGATGAAGAAAAAAAGGTGAGTGATGCATTGAAGTATATGTGGAGACAAAAAAAAAATGTTATCTATGGAGGCAAGGAAGGAAATGTATGAAAATATAGTGGTACTAACACTCTTATATGGGTGTGAAACTTGGTTGCAGAAGCTGCAGTGAGGAGATGGTTGGAGGCAGTGGAGATGTCCTGTCTAAGGGCAATGTGTAGTGTAAGTATTATGCAGAAAATTCGGAGTGTGGAAATTCTGAGGTGTGGAGCTAATAAAAGTATTAGTCAGAGGGCTGAAGAGGGGTTGTTGAGGTGGTTTGGTCATTTAGAGAGAATGAATCAAAGTAGAATGACATGGAGAGCATATAAATCTGCAGGGGAAGGAAGGCAGGGTAGGGGGTTGTCCTCGAAAAGGTTGGAGGGAGGGGGTAAAGGAGGTTTTGTGGGTGAGGGGCTTGGACTTCCAGCAAGCGTGCATGAGCGTGTTAGGAGTGAATGGAGATGAATGGTATTTGGGACCTGACAAGCTGCTGGAGTGTGAGCAGGGTAATATTTAGTGAAGGGATTCAGGAAAAAAGGTTATTTTTATATAGCCGGACTTGAGTCCTGGAAATGGGAAGTACAATGCCTGCACTTTAAAGGAGGGGTTTGGGATATTGGCAGTTTGGAGGGATATGTTGTGTATCTTTATACATATATGCTTCTAAACTGTTGTATTCTGAGCACCTCTGCAAAAACAGTGATTATGTGTGAGTGTGGTGAAAGTGTTGAATGATGATGAAAGTATTTTTTTTTTGGGGGATTTTTCTTTTTGGGTCACCCTGCCTTGGTGGGAGACGGCCGACTTGTTAAAAAAAAAAAAATGCTGGCTTGACACGGTGTGCATGAACAGACAGTAGGACAGTGGGTTTGGGTAGGGAAGGAATCCTCTTCCTACTATGAATGTGGTGTCTTAAGCAGTTACACAGTTTTTCCATGAGCTTCATATCCCCTGTACAATGTACAGAATTCTAGTATTTTGGGTTTTTGAACATATGAGGGAAACCGATGTGAGGAGGAGGAGGATCCAATTGCTTGGAGACTGTTAAAGTAGCAATAAGGAAATAACATTAGTTCATAACATTAAAAACACAGACTTTAGAGGAGCATTCTTCTTGGGTTAAAAGTGGAAAAGAAAACAGAAGAAAAAATAAGTGGAAAATGAAGTCTAAAACTGTTATATTGTCTGAATACAGTAAAAAGGTGTTAAGTTAGAAATACCTTGAGGAGTTATTTAATATTAGGCACTTAGCAATTTTTTTTTTTTTTTGCATGTGGCTACAGACATTTGTTCCATGTTGTCTTTTTGGACGAGAGGATGTGTAATTACAGTACCTAAAATAATTCTTCGAGTCATAGTCTGGTGGTTGGCTAAGCATTTTTCAGCAATAAAAGTAACTAGTACTAGTCTCAAAGAGTAATCAATCCTAAAGCTTTGCATCCCTTTAAGGGAGTGCCTTGATGTTGAAGGACTTTTAACCTATGGAATTGAAGGATTCACTCTCCTTTTTTGGATCAAACCTAATATAGCTCATTAACCAGGAACTGTACAACTCCTGCAGGCATAACACTGTCCTGTAAAAACATTACTACTATTTCACATATGCATCATTACTTATGCTCAGTGCCCTGGTACTGCAATGCAGTATGGTTTCAAATGGGGCCCCCACAGATTCGTGTATACATGAAAGACTAAGGATTACCTGTTTGTTATATAAGCAGAGCTATGTAGTCATTTACTCTCTCTAATATAGTAGTTCATCATCCCTTTAATTATAGGTATGTAGCAAACTGTGATGAAGAGGCTGCAGCAGAGGAAGAAGAACCACAGCCAGCCTGGATGGCTAAAGAAAAGAAACTGTTGATGTGTCCTGTATGTCGGGATCCCATTCAAACTGAGGTACAAGAATTAGTATTATATATAGTCAGCAAATGTGTATTTTTATATGAAAGTTACTATATTTATCTTTCATAGTAACATTCTTCCTATACTAGATTTTCAAAACCATTAAAATATTACAATTCACTATTAGATTCTTAGAGTCCTTAACCACATACAACTTCCTTTTCCTGTATTTTTGTTAACTTCACAGTAAATTTCTGTTCTACAAATCTTCATCTAAAACAGTGATGTTTATGAAATTTAAAAGTAAAATATATTTTTTTTTGTGGTTAAATTTGTGATGTTTGACTTGAGTATCACAATGTTTTTCGTATGGTCAGTTAGTAGTGTTCGCTGTGAACCACTAGCTAATGTAATTGTTCATGCATTCCTCCCTCTTACAGCTGAACAGTAGTGAGTTGTTGTTAGCTGCACCTCCTGAGGAAGAGGAGAATACTGCTCAATTTAAAGCGGACAGTCCAGAGTTACTTGCTCTTCAGCAGCGAATGGCTGAGCTCTACATGCAGCAGAAAGAAAAGGGAGGAATAATTGATTTGGAGGAAGAAAAGAACAAATTTTTGCTTTCCTCCAGTAGGGTAAGTACTATAATCTCTCCACCTTTTTACAATCCAATGTGTATTAGACTTCACTTTCTCACTATTGTATATACTTGAGTATAGGTTGGTATGAGTATAGTTGGTAGTAGGTTGGTAGACAGCAACCACCCAGGGAGGTACTACCGTCCTGCCAAGTGAGTGTAAAACGAAAGCCTGTAATTGTTTTACATGATGGTAGGATTGCTGATGTCTTTTGTCTGTCTCATAAATATGCAAGATTACAGGCATGTCTTGCTACTTCTACTTACACTTAGGTCACACTACACATACATATACACATTTATTCATACACACTCATCTGAGTTTTCTTTGATTTTATCTTAATAGTTCTTGGTCTTATTAATTTTCCTTTTATATCCATGGGAAGTGGAATAAGAATCTTTCCTCCGTAAGCCATGCGTGTGTAAAAGTCAACTAAAATGCCGGGAACAATGGGCTAGTAACCCCTTTTCTGTAAAGATTACTAAAAAGAATAAGAAGAAGAAAATTGTCAAAGTGGGAAGTCTGAATGTGCGTGGATGTTGTGCAGATGATAAGAAAGAGATGATTGTGGATGTTATGAATGAGAAGAAGCTGGATGTCCTGGCTTTAAGTGAAACAAAGCTGAAGGGGGTGGGAGAGTTTCAATGGAGGAATAAATGGGATTAGGTCAGGGGTTTCAAATAGAGTTAGAGCTAAAGAAGGAGTAGCAATAATGTTGAAGGATAAGCTATGGCAGGAAAAGAGGGACTATAAATGTATTAATTCAAGGATTATGTGGAGTAAAATAAAGATTGGATGTGAAAAGTGGGTTATAATAAGCGTGTATGCACCTGGAGAAGAGAGAAGTGTAGAGGAGAGAGAGAGATTTTGGGAAATGTTGAGTGAATGCGTGGGGAGTTTTGAATCAAGTGTGAGAGTAATGGTGGTTGGGATTTCAATGCTAAAGTGGGTAAAAATGTTATGGAGGGAGTAGTAGGTAAATTTGGGGTGCCAGGGGTAAATGTAAATGGGGAGCCTTTAATTGAGCTATGTGTAGAAAGAAATTTGGTAATAAGTAATACATATTTTATGAAAAAGAGGATAAATAAATATACAAGGTATGATGTAGCACGTAATGAAAGTAGTTTATTAGATTATGTATTGGTGGATAAAAGGTTGATGGGTAGGCTCCAGGATGTACATGTTTATAGAGGGGCAACTGATATATCGGATCATTATTTAGTTGTAGCTACAGTTAGAGTAAGAGGTAGATGGGAAAAAGAGGAAGGTGGCAACAACAAGTAAGAGGGAGGTGAAAGTGTATAAACTAAGGGAGGAGGAAGTTCGGGCGAGATATAAGCGACTATTGGCAGAAAGGTGGGATAGTGCAAAGATGAGTAATGGGGGGTTGAAGAGGGTTGGAATAGTTTTAAAAAATGCAGTATTAGAATGTGGGGCAGAAGTTTGTGGTTATAGGAGGGTGGGTGCAGGAGGAAAGAGGAGTGATTGGTGGAATGATGAAGTAAAGGGTGTGATAAAAGAGAAAAAGGTAGCTTATGAGAGGTTTTTACAAAGCAGAAGTGTTATAAGAAGAGCAGAATATATGGAGAGTAAAAGAAAGGGTAAAGAGAGTGGTGAGAGAGTGCAAAAGGAGAGCAGATGATAGAGTGGGAGAGGCACTGTCAAGAAATTTTAATGAAAATAAGAAAAAATTTTGGAGTGAGTTAAACAAGTTAAGAAACCCAAAGGGAAAATATGGATTTGTCAGTTAAAAACAGAGTAGGGGAGTTAGTAGATGGGGAGATGGAGGTATTAGGTTTAGATGGCGAGAATATTTGAGGAACTTTTAAATGTTAAGGAAGAAACAGAGGCAGTAATTTCATGCACTGGTCAGGGAGGTATACCATCTTTTAGGAGTGAAGAAGAGCAGAATGTAAGTGTGGGGGAGGTACGTGAGGCATTACGTAAAATGAAAGGGGGTAAAGCAGCTGGTACTGATGGGATCATGACAGAAATGTTAAAAGCAGGGGGGGATATAGTGTTGGAGTGGTTGGTACTTTTGTTCAATAAATGTATGAAAGAGGGGAAGGTACCCAGGGATTGGCGGAGAGCATGTATAGTCCCTTTATATAAAGGGAAAGGGGACAAAAGAGACTGTAAAAATTATAGAGGAATAAGCTTACTGAGTATACCAGGAAAAGTGTACGGTAGGGTTATAATTGAAAGAATTAGAGGTAAGACAGAATGTAGGATTGCGGATGAGCAAGGAGGTTTCAGAGTGGTAGGGGATGTGTAGATCAAGTGTTTACATTGAAGCATATATGTGAACAGTATTTAGATAAAGGTAGGGAAGTTTTTATTGCATTTATGGATTTAGAAAAGGCATATGATAGAGTGGATAGAGGAGCAATGTGGCAGATGTTGCAAGTATATGGAATAGGTGGTAAGTTATTAAATGCTGTAAAGAGTTTTTATGAAGATAGTGAGGCTCAGGTTAGGGTGTGTAGAAGAGAGGAGACTATTTCCCGGTAAAAGTAGGTCTTAGACAGGGATGTGAATGTCACCATGGTTGTTTAATATATTTATAGATGGGGTTGTTAAGGAAGTAAATGCTAGGGTGTTTGGGAGAGGGGTGGGATTAAATTAGGGGGAATCAAATTCAAATGGGAATTGACACAGTTACTTTTTGCTGATGATACTGTGCTTAGGGGAGATTCTAAAAAAAAATTGCAAAGGTTAGTGGATGAGTTTGGGAAAGTGTGTAAAGGTAGAAAGTTGAAAGTGAAAATAGAAAAGAGTAAGGTGATGAGGGTGTCAAATGATTTAGATAAAGAAAAATTGGATATCAAATTGGGGAGGGGGAGTATGGAAGAAAAATGAATGTTTTCAGATACTTGGGAGTTGACGTGTCGGCGGATGGATTTTTGAAGGATGAGGTTAATCATAGAATTGATGAGGAAAAAAGGTGAGTGGTGCGTTGAGGTATATGTGGAGTCAAAAAACGTTATCTATGGAGCAAAGAAGGGAATGTATGAAAGTATAGTAGTACCAACACTCTTATTTTGGGTGTGAAGCTTGGGTGGTAAATGCAGCAGCGAGGAGACGGTTGGAGGCAGTGGAGATGTCCTGTTTAAGGCAATGTGTGGTGTAAATATTATGCAGAAAATTCGGAGTGTGGAAAATTAGGAGAAGGTTTTGGAGTTAATAAAAGTATTAGTCAGAGGGCAGAAGAGGGGTTGTTGAGGTGGTTTGGTCATTTAGAGAGAATGGATCAAAGTAGAATGACATGGAAAGCATATAAATCTATAGGGGAAGGAAGGCGGGGTAGGGGTCGTCCTCGAAAGGGTTGGAGAGAGGGGGTAAAAGGAGGTTTTGTGGGTAAGGGGCTTGGACTTCCAGCAAGCGTGCGTGAGCGTGTTAGATAGGAGTGAATGGAGACGAATGGTACTTGGGACTGACGATCTGTTGGAGTGTGAGCAGGGTAATATTTAGTGAAGGGATTCAGGGAAACCGGTTTATTTTCATATAGTCGGACTTGAGTCCTGGAAATGGGAAGTACAATGCCTGCACTTTAAAGGAGGGGTTTGGGATATTGGCAGTTTGGAGGGATATGTTGTGTATCTTTATATGTGTATGCTTCTAGACTGTTGTATTCTGAGCACCTCTGCAAAAACAGTGATAATGTGCGAGTGTGGTGAAAGTGTTGAATGATGATGAAAGTATTTTCTTTTTGGGGATTTTCTTTCTTTTTTGGGTCACCCTGCCTCGGTGGGAGACGGCCGACTTGTTGAAAAAAAAAAAAAAAAAAAAAAAATAGGTTGAGGTTGCAAGACAGAGTAGTAGTCAACCTGTTCATGAGTAATACTGAAATCCTTTCATATGGAGAACCTGCTGTACACAAAATTCATGCTTAACTGTTTATATTGTATAGTTTTCCATGGCAAGTCATTTATTTAAATCAGAAACATTATCAGGGCAAGTATTAATCTTTATGGGACCATGTTGTTCGCATTTTTCCACTACAATAAGGTATTTCTCCAGTTATCACTACACATTTTCCTTTCAAACAAAATCCTTTATCTATTGTAATAGTTTGCCATTTATTCTTGTTTTGTAATTTTTCATTCATCTTTCATAAGGGACTATATGAAAAGTAATAAAAATTTCCCACCTGTAACTTAAATTTGTTTTGTGTCAATCGTAGTAAATTAGTTGATGTGAAATACAGGTTTTTGTTGATTTGAAACTGAACTTTTTTCATGTAAGGGGTCTCCTCTCTGGTGTTTCTTGTGATAGGTTTTTCCAGCAATTTTGCAACATTGCTTGTTATTAGACATGCTTATTATTTAAAGGTACATCTTATCACTTATTTTTTGACATCAATCCCATTGTTTGTCATTTTTCATTTGTCTGTCAGTTTTACATCTTGTAATGAAATCCATAAATCTGTTATGCTATCTAGTATAGTCTTGTTACTTTTTTCAATGATAGCTTATTTAACTTTTGTTCTAGCAAAATCTCATACCAATTTATTTTGTTACAGGCTGATTTTTGTGAAGAACTAGAAGATGGGGTTGAAGATGTTACAAGTATTAACAGTCCAGAGTCTACTGCAGAGCCACATCAGGTAGAACCCGCCATTCCACCTAGTAAGAGAGGTAGTCGTTCACTGCATCAGAGACCACAAGGACAAAAGTCACAGAGTGGATATGGCCGTCAGCCATGGAGGACAGAGTTGGGAGGAGATGTCAGGTACTGGTCTGGAAATCGAGGTGGTCGGGGTATAAGTGGTAGCCGTGGTAGAGGTGGAACTGGTCGAATTGTACATCAGAATTCATCCAGAATTATCTCCGAGCCACAGGGATACAGCTCTACAGACTATAAAACCACATGCATAATAGATAATGGATATGGAACCAAGGGGCATGGAAAGCGTGAGAGCAACTCGTATGAGAATGGCAGTTTTTATAACTCAGGAGATAACAGAGCTGGGGGTAATGAAATCATCAGTGGTGCAGGTGGAGTATGCAGAAAAGGCCCCAAAAGCTCTGGAAATCGGCAAAGATATGGTTCTGGGAGAGGTAGGGGTCGTGGTCCACCCCCAGGATTTGCCCCATCATCATTCCGTCACTCCGCTCAAGATTGGAGTTGACGATTGTGGCTTGCAGGGTTATGTCCACCCTGTCTCTTCTTTACTTTCTGTCTTCTCATCTATCTACTAAGTATTATAATTGTGACTTCTTTAACCATAAAGTATTCAGCTTATTTAACTTCCCAAAAAATTAAATGTTATAGAATTAGTTATAATGACAACTTTATGCTTGTTCATTCTAGATCACTAGTAGAACGTGTTAAATGTGCATATGTGTCATTCCTCCATATTTTCTCACTTACTTTCTTTCAAAATATGATTTAAGATATAAGAAAAGGAAACTCTCTTCACAAGATACAAGATACTCATCAGATGTTAGAATAAAAGGTAAGATTTCCATATTAATACTGTATTTACAACTTTGACAGGAAAAGAACATTCAGCATACTGCCCATGTTTACAGGAAACAGTATAGCCTCAAGGGTGGAGAAAGTCATTTAATCACAGTCATGCATAATAAAAAAACAATCTGGGGTCTCCTGTCAAAAATTGCAGGCCATAGCAGATAAAGAATTTAAAATTTTAATATTTTGTTTATGTTTATAATACCAGTTTGTAATTTGATTTAACAAAATCTTTATTTTTTATATGCACAAAATATTAACTTTGTATAATAAGTTATTTATTAGATGATCAAGAGTTGGATGTATAAACACTTGGTTTGTTATTTCCTGCATTACTTTTTTAAGTGGTGAAGTTAAATAGAAATAGCCACTTACAGAAGTAATGAAGTACATGCCCTTAATTTTGAAGTTGAGTTCTTCCGAGTATTCAGAGAAGTGATGGTATGGCAGACCTGACTAAAGAATAATCTCACATGTCTTCAATTAATGTATTTGGAACTGTAAAGCATCTGGGTTGAAGTTTATTTTATATAAGAAGTTACTAAGAGTACAGGGTAAGTGATTTCTTGCTATTTAAACGGGTTTAGCACTTAAAATGATTTTGTTAATATTTTTGTTATTTCTCTCTAAAATAAATATTAAGGCAGCTCTTTGCATCCAGAAGAGGTGGACAGGTGCAAAGTCTTCCCAGATGTTTAATCTAAGCAACCACAATTTGACTTTCTAATTGGAAAATAATTAAAAGTTACAATTTAATGCTGTAGTAACTCATGAAGTCGTAATGACATGATTACAAATAAACCACAGTACAGGCAGGGACTGAACTCACGGCTAGTGTAAAACTACAGACTGGCTGAGTTTTATGACTTGCTAGCCGCGAGTTCAATCCACGCCCATACCATGGTTTGTTTTAATCCTTTAGTATTTCCATATTTTGATAAAAAAGTCTTAACTTGCAAAATACTTTTATCGAAAATTTTTCTGCCATTAATGGTTTCATGTGGGTTGTGTGTATGTACATAAGGTGATACTGGTCATCCAGTGAGTATATAAAATTGCTTATAATTTTCCTTCCTCTGTTTTCCACAGTACATTTTTCTCTTGATTATCTTGAACTACATAAAGTTTAGGTCACAGAGTTGAGGGAAATTGTGAGGTTTTCCTGAAATATGTAGAAAGCTAATTCTCTTTTGTCTTGTATCAAACAGATTTTGGGTTCTTGTTTATTTTCACTCGCAGCAAGTACAAAAATCTATGCTATAGTTTTGATCCATGATTTATTTTAGGAGTTGGTGTGCAATATGACCTCATGCCATTATTCCTCTGGTACTTCCCTCTTTTGCTGAGGGGTGGGCAGCCCGTAGAATCATCTTCAAACATCTTGGTCATTTACAGATATTAAACAGCGTATTAAAAAAATTCAAGGCGTGCTTGTTACAAAAAACCCATTTGATTTGGCTACCGCTTAATGAAACAAAGTTACAAAGGAAATTGTGTAAAAGCTGATGCCTGCTTCAAAATATTACCCATATGGCACTGTTTTCTCAAGGAGCTTGGATCCAAAATATGACTCATGGCTTTTTAACCACCAAAAATTATAAATACCAACAGGCCCTTAACAATCTTCATGGAGACAATAAGTTCCTTCTGTACTTTATCAGCTGGTTGTGGTGCTTAAGTTAGACAGTGAGGTGCAAGCACCACCATACTGACCAATGAGGTCACCCAAAAGGTCTAATAAGAGATTGGGCTCCAAAGGTGTTCATCCCAGGAAGACTTCAGAGATCAGTAGGCAGGTAGAGTTGAATATAAATATACGTACTGTAATACTGTCGTCAGTTAGTAAAAATAAAAAGTATAATGGATAGTTTAATCATCAGAAAAAATCATTGGCATAGGTTCAGATCGGCATATAGTGTTAGATTGTTTATTGATCTACTTGTCAGGTAAAAAATTACCTAACATGGAATCTTTCGTCATAAGATAGCCCCCATTCGTGGTGCTACCCTTTGATGGGAGCATGACAGCACAATTGGTGAGCAAGGATAAGGCAATAAAAGTCTTGTAGCTATTAACCCTATGCCTCTCAAGAGGGGGAAGGTGGCTTCCTTGGCGTGGTGAAGAGGCTCTTGGTCTGATGAATTAGACCTAATGCGGTCCTTCTTCCTCAGACTCGAACCCTAATTACCCCCCCAATCTCCCCCCCCATCCCATCCTCACCCATCCCTCTCCTCCCCTTTATCTTTCCTCCTCCTGCCTCCCCACTCCTCCCTTTTGGCGCCCTTCCTCTTTTTTGTCCTTTGGGATTTCTCCCACAGGCTCGCTAGTTTCCTAGGTAGAGAAAGGACACCGGGGTCCATCCCTATTCCGTTGAGGTTTCTGGCGGTGGCGTAGTATTGCCGTGAACTGGATTGCCTAGGGATGTCCCGATCCCTCTCCGGTAATCCCGAGATAAGCTTTAGGTTCTTTTGGTCGACGGGTGTAAAAAAAAAAAAGAAAAAAAAAAGCTCTGGAAGCTCACCATTTCGGATTCCGGGGTGGTGGCCTGGGAAGGAGGGAATTGCTTTGTGGCGAAATCCCGGGGCCGCCACTCTCTTATGTCCACCGAGGTAGCAGCGGGGCAATGTGAGGTTGCTATCCCAATTGCTGGTTTACTGGCATGAAGGTAGGGTAAGGCCACGGTTCCATGCTGCATCTGCACTACTAGCGGTGGTCGTGTCCTCTTGGGCGCGGAGGGAGATTTCTGGCCCATTTCATCCCTTCCTAGGAACTACCCTCACTCCGGTCCCCCCTATTTTTTTTCTTTTTTTAATTTTAGTTTCTTTTCTTCTTTCATTTTTTTTCCTTAAAAACAAGAAAGAAAGAAGTCACCTATCCAAGCAAGCCCTGTCCATGAACCTGTACCTCCCCGGGCCCCTTCTTGATACCGCACAACCCTTCTGACCCCGCCTCGTCTTTGGAGCCACCTCTTTCAGACATTCCTCATGCCTCTGTACCTATTGCCGGTGCTGGTTTCCACACCCGCTCAGTACTTGAGCTCGACTGACTCCTTCGATTTATCAGACCTTCGCTATCCTCTGACTATGCTTCCGGCCTCTCCCTCTACGTGACGCAATTTTCATAATCGCCGACCTTCCAAGCCACGTCGGACCAACTCTGGTCCCACGCCTACACGTCAACGACAATACCTGCTGATGATACTTCTTTCCACCTTCACCTTCTCGTTCCTTCCTCAGAAACAGATCGACACTCCTTCACTACCTTTCCACGCTCAGTTTCAACTGAACAGTGGGACTAAATTCTTCACTTTACGACCAACTTCCTCTACTGCTATCTGTTTCTGACGCATAGTTTGGCAAGGCACTCCTACGCCCCAAGTTTGGTAAAGATATTTCTTTTCATGCTCTTAAGAGCGTACGCGCATTCAATACCGACACAGAATGCTACCCATGGCTCGTGACTCTCCTCGTCTTAACCCTTATAGATACTGTTCCTGTCACCCTTGAAAACTAACATTCCCTCAATTCTTGTAGTTGTACCGTTATTCTGCCCCATACCATAGTTCATACAAAATTTCCCAGACATGTGGCACCGGACATTCTAGAACACAGCTGGAACTCCAAGATCTCCCAATCCTCAAGGTAGACACTACGTTCTTCCTCCCGTGGCGGAGACGATACCCTAGCAATGTGGCTCGTTTAACTTTTTGACTAGCCGAGAACTCCCCATCCCTCCGTTTATATAGCAGGACATCGGTTACAATTCGAAAAGGTTTGTTTGGGGGATCCCTACACCACAACAGTGTAGAAAATTGCTGGCGATTTGGCCATCCAGCGAAATATTGTCAGATCTATCGCCGAATGCCCATCTGTGGTGCGATGACCATTCAAATACTCTTGCATCGATACCTCCCCTCTTGCCTTAACTGTCATGAGGCTCACCCTTCGTACTCTCGCCGTTGTCAGTCTCTTTAAAAGAGCGGGAAAATCCGTTACCTCAAAAGAGACAGAAGGTCTCCTTATGCCATGGCAGTTTCTCATCTCCGCCTCCAAGGGATACTCCCACGTGATCGTATTCCCGTGTTTCAAAACGTCCCCCCTACTTCTGGTACTCCATCTTTCTACAACCCACCTCTGTGTTCCTCTCCCATAATCCACTCCTGTATCTAATTCCTTTTTGCTAGTCCTCGCTTCAGACCGTCCCTACTTCAAGCCTTCAGTCTAATCTCGCTTCTCCGAGTTCTCTCTTACAAGCCTCATATCGACGATACCTCGTTCGACACCTCTTCCCAAACGTCCCTCAACTTCTCAAAAGTCAAAAAAAGGTCTCTGGTAACACCTCCTACCCATCTCCACCTCCTCCAAAAAAAAAAATATTTTACCCTCCCTGTCTCTGTCCCCTATTCTTCTTCCCCTCTCACATGGCTCAGTTACAGTGCATGAGTTTCACCCCTCCTCGTAATGTACCTTCCTTCCCCTGTTCCGCTCCCAAGTTTCTTCCCTCTTCTGCCGACCTCCCAGTTCCTGGCTCTTCTGTCCCCCCTGCCAGCGCTTCTCCAGTTCCCTCCTTCCCATTTCGCGCCGCCCCTACCTTGGTACAGTCCCAATAACAGTTGCCAATCTTATTACTTCACTCCCCCTACCATCCCAATATTGTCTCCCATACGACGTCTCTGAATTCCGAAACACGTGAAGCAATTCTCTGAATATATTGCAGAGACCAAACCATCAATGGACACTGATCCACCTATCCGCTCTTCCTCTCTCCTCTGCCTCCTCTGCCAACTCCTATCTTCACAGCGCAACCCTCGTTCCTTTCCGCTGCTTGAACATTTTCCACTGCCGCCTCCCCGCATGTGGACTTTTCTAACCCTACTAGCCCTTAGGAACCCTTTACCTGCGGATTTCAAGTATCTTTATCATGCCAATCATGGCCTTTTTACAGTGGAATTTACGCGGCCTCAGGGGTAACGGTGGTGAGCTTCAGTGTTACTCTCCCAGTTTGCCCCTGTTGGTGTTTTGCTTACAGGAACCAAAATTACACCTGCTTGTTATTTCTCACATCTAGGCTATAATTTATTGTATTCTTCAGATCCTTTTCCCTGATGGGACCTTAATGA